CTAACTCTATCAACAACTTATCAAGTCAATTACCAATTTTGTGAGTGAAGTTAATTAGTTGTCTAAATTGCCTAGTTGATTGATGTCCCTCTTCTAATATATATATCCCCCTGTGCCACGTGAATACCATGTGACTGTGGTCACTGTTTTTAATTTGCTTCTCTTATTACTAGTACTGCTCTTCTTCACTACTTAATTAATTTTATGATGTAATCTTTCATCTGTATATATATTTGTAATTAATAGCATATATATATTCTCTTTCAAATTTTCTAGTCAATTCAACTACCAAATTGTCTTATTTGGTGCTACACAAATATGAATTATATTTATCTTATTCTAATCCTTTTTTAAAAGTTATACTCCTTATCTACGCATGTTTTTTAAGCTTGATTAGTGAGATTATTAAACGAAAGCCAACTGATTTAATTGGTAAAGTCTAAAAAAATGGTACGATTAGTACTTAAACTTGGACCGACTTAGTATTTATATAACCCCTTTGCCTCTAAATTAGCATAATTAGCAAATCAATAGTAACAATGCGTGTTTGGGTGAATGTACAAGGCCAAAGTTGCAATAATTTACAAATAGTGAAAATAAAATTCCTTTGAGATCAATGAAGAAATAATTCACAAATTAGAAAATGACAATAACACAAATTCTTATATGTGGCTAGCCACATAGTGTGGCCACTTCACATAATCACATATAAAGCAATTAATTAAGTGATAGGGGTCACGGTAATTAGCAAATGGGGTTATCTTAACGTATATAAGGTTACTTAAATAAGAAAAAGGGGTTACTTTCTTAAATAAGTGGAATTATTCTTTTGTCTTTTTAAAACAAAAGAATAGGGGTTACTCGAATGAACAAATGGGGTTACTTATTTCTAAATTACTTGATTTTATTCGTATAATGAATTTGGGTTACTTTTATGGACAATATAGGGTTACTCTCGTGAAAAAATGAGGTTACTCATACATATAAATGAAGATTACTCTTATAAACTAATGTGGTCATACCATATAGCTAGCCACATACAAGACTTACCCCTGAAAATAATAATCTTCAACACGAGTGGTTTTAATTAATTCAACGTAAAAATGATAAGTAAAATCTTTTGTATGCTTATCTTCTATGCATCATAAAGTGAATAGATTAGGATGAGAGAAATTGGAAATTAACCACTAACAAAAGTATACGCATTTACGAATAAGTAATGATGAGATATTAAGTGTAAACCTTGTAATTAAGACTAATATAGACATTGGAAAGCATGCACATTATTCGATGATCTTCCCACTCATGACTCATGCCATGATATTACGAAATATTTCACCTTTTTAAGTTGCAAACTTATATGTTTACCAAACATTCAGAATTTTTTATTTTTAAAAAAAAAAAACAAAAAAACACGCTAATAAGAAGATGAATCTAACCATAACACACATAACTCCAAATTTTGTATTGTACTAAAATAACTCCATTCAGGTAATTATTAAACACTCTAGGTGCCCTACAAACAATATTCTAAATGTTTGAAACCTTATTAGTCGTTGTAAAATCAATCATTCTTTTATTTTGTAATAACGTATTATCATAAAATGACATTGTTTGAAGGGTGGTACAATAGCAAATGCTCAATATCTGAAATCAAATCTATAATATTTAAAACACAAAGGGACAACATGGTAACGCCATGTGTCGCTGTTGCATCAATATGATTTGGCGCCACATCATCGCTATGTGTCACCCTTACGTGTCACCTTATATGTGTCATCACTCTAAAACTTTTCATACGTGTAACTTTCATATTTAATTTTCTTTAGAATGTAACTTCTAAGTAATTATTATACAATAATAAACTACAAATTAATTTGTAAGAAATTAATCACATACTAATGGAAAATATGGTCTCTTTCAAGTTGACAGCAATAGAACTTATTGAATAAATTTATAGATACGTATGTATATTGAATATACTTTTGTGCCTCACGATCATTTAGTAAATTCAATAATCCTACATTACAAAAAAGAATACAAGAATAAGATGATGAATTTATTTTAATTTTTTTAAAAAGTAAAAGAAGAGAAGTCCAACCTAATACTAGCTAGGTTGGATGTAACAGCAAAATATTGTCTCTTTCAAGTTGACAGCAATAGAACTTCTGACTTAGGAGGCTATAAGTACTCCATATGTAACATCATAGCGAGATAGGAGGCTAGTTCTTCGACTTTCAGGTCTAAGGTTGCTAGGGTCGAATATCACCAACCTCATTTTACGAGAGATTTTCATCAATCTCCTGTCTTAGGATGAGCCTTTTCTTACTACTCGTATATAAATGCTTTTATAAAATCACTGAGTAAATCATATTATAAAACAACTTTTGATTAATAAAGATTAAAGAAAAAGAAATTATGTACTACTACGTATTTATTTTGAACAAGAAAAAGTGCATTATCTATGACTAAAAAAAGTGGTACAGATTCCCAATTTCTTGAGGACTCTGAATGTATATTCCTTATCAATTTTGGTAAGCAAACACTTGAAGAAATTTCAAATTACTTTTGCAAAAGATTGGTAGTTATTGATGTAGCCTAACTAGATCAGAATTTCCTATCTATGTCTTTTCTTTTCCAACTTTTTTGTATGTACATGAAACACGCAATGCACGCATTCAATTACTCATCATATGATTGCTGTCAATGTCTAATTATATTAATATCATTTCCTATTTTTGGGTGTTCCAAAAGAGTAGCACATACATAATTGTTGAAACATAATAGTGTTTCTATCAAATTCTAGAAAGTAAAAAATATCTTAGTTTGGTTTTCATTGCAAAGATATTTCATAAAAAAAATATTAGTACCTATAAAACAAGTTCGCATGTAATTTGTAGTTTTAATCAATAATAATAGGAGTAATCAATTCCTATTAAAAATGTTTTGAGTGATCATTAAATGTGTAAATAGAAAAGATAATTGCAAAAAATTAACTAGATATGAACAATATATAAAACGTCAACGCCATGTTTTAACATAATGCTTAAATAAGCACAATGATCAACTTAAAAAAGATATAAGAAACAAATTACAGTAGAGACTGTGACCTTGTTAGGTAAAGAGTTTTTTGAATAGCTATTAGCTTTATTGAAACCTATAATTTGTTTGACCATTTTGGCTTTGGACTCAAAAAGTTCTATAAGAAGAAACTCATCATAATAGAGGCCTTCTTGGCAATCAGCTTTCGGCTATTAGCTACTTTGACTAATCGTCAGCTGTTAGCCTTTTTAAATTAGCTTATGAAACATATAATTTTTTTGGTTATTACATATATACATTGAAACAACTAACAATTAACAGCCATTTATCAAACACTTTTACATAATCAGCTAGTCAAATCATCTAATACAACCACCTACTCAAATTAGTTAATACAACCAGTTATATCCATCAATTACTAACATGGCTTATGTGACAAAGTAAAGCGTTGAAATACGATTCCTCTTCTTAAAGTGTGATTATCATCAAACTAATTGCAAAAAAAACTTTATAGATATAAATGAAAGATGTAGGATCAAGTGAATTAAGAGGGTTGAAAAGTCGAAAACAGGATATATAGGTCTAATCAATTTAAGGGTTGTGTTGAATTAGTGTTAAAGGGTTAGGGTCCAACCCTACAAGGAAAAACAAGTAGTGATCCAACAAAATAATCAAAATAAAGAGGGGGTCCTAGAAGTTTAGGGTAGGGGGCAAAGAGTTTCCAAATATAAATAGGGATGATAGTGGGCCAATAAAAAGAAGAAAGGCCCATTTTCCAACAAATACATTTTGTTTGGACATGAACATTGATGTTTGGGTGAGCCCTTTCATGTTCAAAGCCTGCTGGAATTTTATGTGGTGGGTGAACAACCAATGGGCAAACGGCAGAGAAGAATTTCTGCCTAAATAGAAACATGTTTGGGGGCCCATTTGTGGTTTTTGATATTGGGCTGTTTTAGACATTGATAGGGACAACTGTTTTGGAATTTGGGCTAGTCACTTTCATTCATGTTGGGGAGTTGGTTGGACCATTTGTATTTATTTGGGGGCCCAATTGAGTTACAATTTGTCTCCTTTTTAATGATAAGACCTTTCTCTTTTGTTATTTTTGGGAAACTTGTTTTGTAGGCAAAATAGATGGTTCCACCATTCAAATGGCCTCCCAAAATTTTGTGATATTTATGGAAAGCATTCCTATCTTCTCTTTTGGGGTCGGATATGTCTAAAATAAAATCAGACCAATTTTGAAGGTTTTGAGACCAAGTGTCAAATGTCGAGATCATATAATGTTATTTTGAACCATAAATGATCACTAGTCGGTCATATAATTAAGGGAAGTGTGTATGTAATGACTAAATTAGCAATTCTCGAAATTTCGTGAGGTCTATAGAAAGCACCTCAACCACTTTTCTTTTCGGGTCCAAAAAATTCCCAAATTGAATGTTATACTATACTAAATCAGTAAATCGACCAATTTAAGATGGTTCAAGAGCTGATGTCAAAAAATCTAGAGATATTAAATGATGATTAATGAATGATATTCAAGTTCTATGTTTTTTTTTCCTACAATTAAATAAGTCTTTTACAAGTTCTATTTACAATTAAAACAAGTCGTTTTACAAGTTCAAATATGAGTGAAAATCAAGTGCATTAAACGCGTTAGCTACAAGCCTCATACTTATACATCATATTTACCCTTTCTTCCTTTTTAACTTTCTCAAAATTTGCGCAATTTGCTCGCGTATCACTTGAGTTTTATTTCCAAGTTTCATATGTTTCACCATCACAATTTTTTGGAGAAACAAAGGAAAGGATAAATTGTACTTATAATTAATATGTAGTAAATCTCTCCAACAACAATATCAAATTATCAACAATATACTCCGTAATACTTAAAAATTATACATCGGCTTCTTTGTCAACGGGATGTTAGTAAGAAATTGAAGGAAACCATAATCAAAACCATGAAATAATATTCTGCATGCATACTATATACCATAATCAATTTCCTACCATGGTAAAGGTGGTCACAGCAGGATACATCTAGCTAGTAGCTGTAAGACTTATAGACATGAATATGTTTAAACCAAATTTGGTGTTCTTCAAAAGGTACACACCCCAATTAAAATGAACAAATCTACTAAACAGCGATTCTCAGAGCCTGGCACTACTCAAATGTATCATCATCGTCATCAGGCAATGGCTGCATAGCTGCTTGAGCAAGGTCTGCTTCATTCCTGGAAAAAACACGAGATAACAATACTGAGTAGTGAGTACTATTGCTTGATGATACTTCTTAACATGTACAATGACGCACATCACAGTTCACATACACTAAGGCTTTTAATGGAGAATAAACTAGATCACACATTTACACAGCACAAACGAGCCAACATTGAGTGACAAAATTATACTTCCAGAGTAAAATTAAAATTAAGCGATTATGACTTATAGCAAAACATGCACAACAAAACTGCTACTTCACACTGCTTTCAGAGCAGACAAAATAGCATGCTGACAGTAATTACTCCTAACAGTCCTAAGTATCCAAACTTACAGACACCTAAATTCTGGATACTATTATATTGTTGCAAAGCAGAATGAATTCAGAATTACAGAGTACTCTAAATCAATTAAACTGTAATGACACTTACTGTTGTTGCACGATCAAGTCAATCTCTACTTCAGGCGGGGCAAGAGCAACCTCCTCTTTAAAGACAAGATTAGAGTCCCTGAAACAAAGGCAAACACACGTTAGATATTTATCCAAAACTTAGAGGTAACAGATGAAACAACAAATTTAATGAGCATTTAAATCCCCCAAACATGCTCCAGGGAAGGGAAAAAAAAAAAAAAAAAAAAAAGAGCACAGCAGTTACCCAGTTAGCTTCCGCGCAAGGTACAAGAATGGCTTCTCATAGTTATAGTTGCTCTTTGCAGAAATCTCATAGTACTGCAGATTCTTCTTCCTATGAAATGTAACCTGTTTTGCCTTCACTTGCCTGTTCTTCACATCAACTTTGTTTCCGCAGAGAACAATGGGAATATTTTCACAGACACTGCTCGGGTACAAGAACAAATTATTACATATATCCAACATGGACTACATTCAATGGATCAAAAAAATCATGTCAAAATAAGGAGACTAACCGGCAAAGATCACGATGCCAGGTGGGAACATTCTTGTATGTCAGCCGGGCTGTAACATCAAACATTATGATAGCACATTGCCCATGAATGCTGCATCAAGCATGACAGTTATAGAATTAGGAACAGGAATAGTGTGTATGCACAACTGAAATACACTTAGCTCAAAAAACTTGGTTTAAATTGCACATCAAGTTAGAGTGCCTATCATTTTCGACAGCTTCATCACTAAACTGGAGAAACCACTTGAATGGATGAATCAATGTAAATTTGCAACAAACATATCAAATATATAAATGCTATCCCGAAATGCATTCTATTCTGACTGATTCTCCCAAATGAAACTCTGCCAGTCTTAAAAAACAAAAGTATGTAACCTCAACAGTTGCATGAAGATCAACGACATGGTGAATCTCCATCAAGAAGAATATAATTCACAGGACGAAAGTATGTATAGCATCAACAAAATATAGAATTGGCTAGAGAGCAGAAAAAGATTTGGATAAGAGGCACAAAACAATGTGATCAAACACCAACTATGCAGTTACTGTAAATTACTCGAAGTAAAGACAGCAATCCAGTCAACTGAATTATTTGACAAGTACCGAATCATTAAATTTTCACAAAAAAGGCATCAAAGTAAGCTCTAATAGTTGCATTTGTTTCAAATTATAACACACTTACTAGTAACCATCTCTAAGACCTCCAAATTTCTCCTGCCCAGCAGTATCCCAACAATAATATCTTATTTTGCCAAGGTTTGTGGTGAAATCCAATGGATGTACCTCCACACCAATAGTTGCTGGAGAAAGGGAGAAGAGATATATGTTAATTTTGTAACATTTACATCCTTAGACAAGAAAATGGGGATATCAACAGATACTTCAATAGACTTACGTTCATATTTCTTTTCAAACTCCCCAGTACGATGCCTCTTAACAAAAGTAGTTTTTCCTGCAACAGCGAACAACAATTTAGAATATATCGACAAATATTCTCCTAAATAAGGAAGTATATCTATACGTGTAGCATACAACTAAATAAACCCGAGTCTAAGCATTAAAGTAACCAGAATAATGTGCGGAGTATTAGATTCATAAGCTTGCATTGTAATCTTGTACTACACACAATAGCTACAGAATATCCACTTATACATGCTTGTTGTAATAGACAAGGCACCGGACACACAAATTTCGCTAAAGGAAAATAATTTATAAATCCGCGGCCTACCAATCCAACAAATCATGAAAATCATTACCTTAATTAACGTTCTTTTCTTTATTAAAAGACATAACAAAAGCACTACGGCAAAAGCATAGTTTCTCTTTGAATTAATGTAACAAGAGCTCAAACTATGCCTTTTTCTTCTGAATTTTGCTAGAGTAAACAACATCAAGAAGTCATCTCCTATAACCAGATCATAGTTCTAGGCAAGAAAATTGATCATGCATTTCTTTCAAACTTTCACACAGTTACCAAAAATTAAAATTACACTACATCAAATATTGCTAATAATCTAATGCAATTTAAGTTAATAAAAAACAAATTGTTTGTTTAAATAATCAAAATTCTGCCTTCACAAAAGCATTGTTAATCATACTTCCAATTACATTCTCTTAATAAATTTCATAAATTCACACCGTTATCAGAAAATTGCACTTCAAACATCACTAATAATGACATGCAATAAAAAAAACAAATTGTTTGTTTAAATAAACAAAATTTAAAATCCTATACAACTGCCTTCACAAAAACATCGATAATCAGAATTTCTATTACATTCTCAAAATAAATTCAATACACTCGTGAAAATTATCTAAACAATTAGCAGGCAAATATCAAACCCTAATCAAATCATTATCTCAACATTTTTCTTCAAAAAACCGTTACACTCATAAATTCTTAAACTATAACAACCATAATTCAACCAGCAACCAAAAAAAAAAAAAAATCAAACAAAACTCACGTATCAAAACAACAAAATTGATCGTAAAAAGTCATGAAATAATACAGTAATCAAAATATTACGATCAAATTAACAAAAAAAATGCGATGAAATAGTGTACCAGTGCCGCCATCGCCGACAATGACAAGCTTGAAGCTAGGATAATCAACAGTTTGCTGATTAGGTAAAGCCTGGAAAAGAGCAAAATAATAATTAACCAAAAGAGACATGAAATAAAACCCTAATTTTTATTAAAATTGGTATTATTGGAGAAGATGGAGGAGAGAGAGAGAACCATTGAAAACGGCGGAATTGATAAGAGAGAAGGGTGAGATGGAGAGAAAAAGAGGGGGGAGTATCTGTATTTATAGAATGGGTGAGGTTGGCTTTTAATTCACGCACTATTTTATCAATCTTCTGTTTTTAAGGAGAATTCAAGTTTTTATTGTTTGTCGACAAATTTGATTCGTAATTTTTTTTTTTTTTTTTTTTTATTTTTTAAGAATGAAGATTGTATCCCGCGTTCTCCTAACGCACAAATAATGTGTATCCTTGTGTTTATCATATTTATACCTTTGCTATGAGTAGTAAACTATCTAGTTGTTGCGTGCGACCTCGCAATGAAGGAACATTATAAAGCCTTCTTTATTCCCCAAATTCTCATATATTAGTAAACCAATTATGTTTTATGAGATATAAATTAAATGGGTAATGCTATATGCACCCTTTAGCATCTCATGTACTTCCTTTATTAGTATTAACTTGGGAATTTATCGAGAATTCACTAGTAAATCAATGTAATAAATGTTTATTTATTGTCTATTTTTTTCCACTTTTAGCTTCTTATATGCAACGCTTAGGGCTGCATATATCTTTTTACAAAATAAATTAATTTTTTTTTTTTTTTTTTTTAATTTTAATGTTGAGCTATCGGTATCAATACATATGTTAAAGCTGTCAAAACGTGATCTAATCTAGAATCAACCTAGGTAAAATTTAATGTGATTTAAAATTTGTGAATTTGACCTAAGAAAATTTGATTGAATTTGTTACGGAGTATTTACCAAAACTAGGACTCTAGGAGTGCAGGACAAAGTAGTACTAAGTCTTATTTGCTCGGGGATAAAACATAATGATGTTATTTGAATGTTAGTATAAGATGAGTTGTTTACAATACACTGTAAAACTTAATTTTGATGGCTACATGGTTAATGTCTCTAACAAAAATGTTCCAAACACTAATTTGCTCACTATTCAACTAGCCTGACAAACACATGAATTAAATCAAGAAAAATGCTTTACATAGCCCTTTGGGCTACATATAAGGAGCTAAAGGGGGGATGAAAATATAACATTAATTACACTAATTTGCTCGTGATTTTGTTATGCATTCCAAAACTAATATTAAGTTATGAAAGATATTAAATGTTTATTCTTAACCCTAAGGGTTACGTATAACATTACCCTTAAATCAAAACCAACTAAATTCCAAACTAATGATAAACTTTATTTGAATCTAAGTTGACATAAACTAGTAAGCAAATTGACTTGACCCGAATCCAATGCAATCAAGTATGTAGCCCATGATCGATATGAACCCGAACAAACCATACCAATATTGATAAAACCTTAAAATCATAGCACATATATCACCTTAGTTTTGATTCAAAAAAAGAAAAAAAAAGGAAGAAGATAGGCTGCACAAAAAGAGAAAAACCGCCCACAGAAATGGATGTTAATACAAAGAAAATTCTTCTTATTAAACCATAAATAAATACTCCGTAATAAATAAAAATGAAAAATAAATAAAATAAAAAATCATCCCAAAAATAACAAGGAAAATTCCGTCGATCTGTAAAACGCAGTCGTCTTCCTCTTCCTCCGACCTCTCCAATTTATCAATGGCTTCTCCTTACGATCCCTTCAAACAGTAAGCTTCGCATCTCCCTTCTCATCTCTCTCTTTTAAAATACTTTTAAATTCTGATTTGGGTTTTTTTTGTTTCCATTTTTCTAATTGCATAAAAAAGGGAGCCAATTAAGCAGCAACAACAAAATAAAAAAGGGCCCAATTTCTTACTCATGCTCCCTCTTATCTACGCTCCTGTTCTTCCTCTCAGTAATTCCCTCTTTTTTCATCTTATCTTTATGAATTTTTCTGGGTTTTTGTTGATTTTAATTTTGGTTTAATTGTGGTTATTTTTTTTTATTTTGATTTCTGGGTGCAGTTAGAATATCACTGAGGCATAAACCTGTTATTAGGGATCGTTTGTTTACTGCTGTTCTTGTTGGAGCTTTTGCACATGGCGCTTATCTTGTGTATCCTTTTACCTTTCTTATATTTAAGTTTTTGTGTTTCAGATTTTCCTGCTAGTATTATAATTTAATTAATTACTGTTCTTTATAACTGGCTACCAAATGAGTCGTAATTTCTTTTGTTTTTGTTAGCGGAAATGGTGTTACTTTATGATTTGTGAGATGAATTGTTTAGAATTTTGTATTGCATGCTTGATTATGTCTTTTGATTGTTTCTATGAAAATGCAGTTGCTATTGTTTTCCTAGGTGGGATTTTGATTTGTAGTTAGTGATATATGTATGTTGTAGGACTGGAAATTGTGATGTTTTTAGCTGTTGCACGGATATTTCGTATGGTTCGAAGTTTGATTAGATGCCCGATGATAGGTGAATGACGAGGATGCTGCAAGTTGGAGAGGAGGGGGGGGGGGGGGAATGTATATGTGGATTATTTGAATGAGTTTATTAGAGTATGGATTGTTTGATAAGGGGTAGAGAGTAGAGACTAGAGAGTTGAGTGTGGTTGCTATGTGATGATAGAATGTGGATTGAGCTGCCTTCAAGTTTATTGATTGTGGTTTGCTGAGAGGTTTATTTTTCTTGAATTAGCATGTTGGAGACTCCAACCATTATTCAGTTTCCTCCTTTACGCAACTCGTAAGCTGAGTCAGTTTCCTTCTTGGGTCAGCATGTATCGATGAATGGATACATGGCGATTCATTTAGGGCCCAACACGTGTACGGTTTTCTGAAAAATGGATTAAATGTGACATTTGGACATATAATAATCTAGTAAATATACCCTTGATGCCAGATGCGCACTAGTAGCTGAGTCTGTGTAACATAGTTCATCAGTCATTTTCTCAGCATCTGTTTAGGATAACTCTGTATGACATATGTTATTTAGGGAATGGAAGGTGGAAGATTGTTGTGAACTTGTGATGTGGTACTCTTTATGATATATCTCAAATTTAGATAGGCAGTATATGATTAATTTTCTCACTAAGTACAAAGTAATAGACTCCAACATTCTTCTGAAGCAAGGATTTTTGATCTGAATTATCTGAATAAGCAGTGTATACTGTATAGTCTCAGGCAACTCTATTCCTTGGGCAAGGAATAGACTGCTGGCTGCTGCTATCTTCTATCTTGGAGAGTATTTGGAATGTATAACTAATGAAATATATTGTATATATACCTGGAAGTCTAGAATGTAACCTGTATATTGAATGCATATTTCAGAAATGGACTGGTGTTCTTAGGTGGGTAGCTAGTAGCCTGGGAGACATTTATTTGATGTTATACTTGATGTCTTGAACAATTATCATAGCGTACTTTAAATGTAGTCACCAGAATTTTGTATGCCAGGCTCTAACATGGTACTTCCCATTTTTGTTGATGAGATCGTGATTCATGATTATAGACTATTGAAAGCCGAATATCTCACAGAAAATGATATTCTAGTTGGTAATGTTATCTTATGTGTCATCTTCATATAAACTTGTGGTCTCTGTTCGTGGTTTCTGTTTGGTATTATACCACATGTCTTAGGGTGGTTCACAATTCATCCCATCATTTGGCATGCTGATAATTATAGGACTAGATCATTTTTAATCACATTCCTTTTTATGTTGCTTTCATTAGTCTCCAGCCTCCATATCTCTATCATGGCAAACTAATTTAGCCAATATGCTGACAAATGGTACCAAAATCTTATTTTTGATGTCAATTGCTCATTTATATGATTATACATTCTACTCATTGGGTCCCACACTTCGTGATCTTTTTTGTTTTTTTTTTTCTTTTCTTCTACTCGGCTGATTCGATTGTTCTTCTACGTTGTTCTTAAGTATCTTACCTGTGATAGATTTTTTTTCCATCCTTTTCCATGTTATTTCTTTTTTGTTTTTTCAACTTAACCATAATATGACAGAGAAGAAAGAAAAAAAAAAAAAACTGGACTTACCGTTTTAGTAACCTCTTGTGCGTCTCTCAACATTGAGATTTTGGTCTTGCTTTTGCGTTGGACTTTTAAACCTTCTTTCAGTTTTACATGCATGGCCAAGTTTTTGTGGTCGTCAAAAGCCAAGATAGACAAGACAGTTAAAATCTCATAGCTTTTGATACTGTATATTTGAATTAGACCATATATTTGTGAGCATTTATGCCATTTGTCTTCTGGAGTTAAGCTAGTTTTGATTTGCTGAACTACATATGCAGATTAATATTGCTTTTATGCAGCCATCCATGTTGTGTATGTATAGTTTATCTGGAAACAGATATGGACAATGCAAGGGTTAAAGTTTCATCATCTCTTCTTTTGTTAAACCTTGACTGAGATATTCAGGACTGATCTTTATGATGTCGAGAGCAAGTAGAGGAACTGAACCAGCACTTGGTCTCCTGAGGCTTGTAAGTACACCATCATTCAGTTGATCGTGAAGGCAATCTTATTGCTTGATTTCACTGCTTTACATTTTTCGAGGATTCTTGATGATCATTCTTCTCCAAGTATCACTTCTTGCAGACTTAGCATTAAGTTGGTTATATTATTATGTTTTCTTGAAACTAAATAATCTCAAATGGAGTATTTACATAATCAGTTTTGATTAGCAAACATCTGACATGCTTGCGGAGTTATGGGAACCTTGATTTCTTTATCATGAATGAATTATGCCGTATTAGCTTGTTTATTACTCCGTATATTGATATGTTACTGATAAGTTTGTAGGAATAAGAAAGGTTAATTTAGGTGACGCTTCCTGTGAAATGTAGTATCAGCATCATTTGAGAAACATCAGTATGTAGTCTATGTATGGCCTTTTGCCTCTTTGGTCTTTGAAGGGGTGTTGTTGCAGCGTTGGATAGTACGAGGACACCGTGTAGAGGATGTATTGTAGGGAATTGAGAGATTACAGGATCCTTTTGAAATGTGATGCTTGAAACTTAGGGAGCAAAACGTGAACGTCAAGATCATTGGGTTGTTTACTTGGTCAAGTTGTACCTCACCTGCTCTTAGCCTTTTTTTTGTTTTTTCAGACTTTATCGAACCATGTCAAACTAGTTTAATTTCGCACATGACAAATTGGACCCTATTATATGGTCCTGTCCATAATGACCGTGTAATTGAATGAGCCAACAAACAAAAAAAACTCTCAATCTCACTGGTCAAGTGTACGCGGTATATCATAAATTCATAACTTCATAAGTATGCCTATTAGGCTATTACTTTTGATGAATTGATTATGGTCAGCCTTAAAAAAAAAGGTCTATGCCTCTAACATCACAAAGTCTGTATATTCTTTTGTTATAAATAATTAGAAATAGAGGTAGTATTATTATTTTTTTTCCGGTGTTTAGAGAGCCCCAAGGGCGTTTGATGAGAATCGATTCCAAATATTTTGAAATCGGGAGGAAAGATCTAACCACTTGATCTATTCCTCACTTTCAGGTAATACTAAAATTTTAATTTAGTGTCTAAAGTCTTGAGTTAAAAGATGTTCAAATTATTCTTCCGTTTGTCTAACGTGTGTCCATGGTTTGTTTAATGTAAGATCTACATTAGACATTAATAACATCTGTGATCATACAATAAGCAATAAGCTCAATATTGTATAGATGTAGATAGGGATCAAGTTTTTAAACTAAAAACAATTGGTTATTTGGTTAATTATTACTCCGTACTCTATATTATTGAATTAAAAAAAAAAAGATAATGTTGGCCAAAGCATAAGCAACAAGTATATTCCATCCACTTGTTGTGATTCCCTTCTTCAGAAGTTTCACATTATCTCCCATCAATATGCTCTCTCAAGTAAACTCTTAAAGTTCGATTTCAAAAAAATATTAATAAAATAAAAAATAAAGTTGGAAGATACCCATACCTTTGTCCTTGTGATCAGCTACATGCATCTCTAGATTCACAATGTAATCCTTCCAAGATTCCCGACCGTCTGATCAACTCAAACATACTCGTACACATTTGTACGGTTTAGATTAATTTAGACTTTTAATCCTACCGTAATATTTCTTAGACCTTATTAGTCAATCACACCAAATAATCTATAATCATGTCAATGTCACAAAACGTCATCGTTCCATTAATTACTTTCCACGGCTAATCCTTACTTAACACACTTCCTCCTTCCACTAATTAACGTCTTTATCTTAAAACGTCATCGTTAGTCTTTAAAAAAGCAATTTAAATCTAATTTAAGATCACTATCTACTCAGATCTTACATCATTTCATTTTAATAACTTATCACTTATCTAGAGATTAACATCACCCTAAAGAACTAAACCATTGGCTTAAAATTAGGAACCACTAATCAGTGACTCAGTGTACTTCTAGCTAATTTAGGAGTTTAGTCCAGCACTAATACAATCGAATGTAAAATCAAATATCGACTGCATCATTTTGAGCTATATCGCATACACCAACATGGCAACACGCTATAGATAAAAAGGGAATTATATACAATAATGAAAATGTAAAAAACAAGATAATTAGAGTAATGAATAATTACAGATAGATTAATGAAGGCGCACCTAATTTTTGTCCACATTCATTACAATATTACATCATCATAAAAAATTACCAAAAACAAAGTTTTTCATGCATGATGCTAACTAAATCAACCCAAATTCAACAATAACATTTCAAAATTAAAATAAAATATAAATCTAAAGAGAGAGAAAATGCGGACAAAACGATGCGCCGGTGAAATTAGGTCATTGACGATCTGAGTCATGAGCGGAGAAATCAGAAGCAAGACGAGAAGCAATGGCGGAGTGATACATTTTATCATGAAACGCCGCCGTTTCCTTCGTCATCAACCTCAGCTGCCTCGCCTTTTCTTCGGTGAAACATCCGCGAGAAAACTTCGGTTTCGACGGCATATCCTCCGATTTCACCGGAGTTCCTTCGATTTTTGAGCCAGAGTCAATGTAATCGGCGTCAGAGGACCATCCGAAGAGTGGCGACCACCACTTTCCACCGCCGGAAGCGGCGGATGTGGTGGTTTTCCGGCGAGTGTTGTCGGAGACGCCGGAAGCGCGGACAATAAAGGTTTGCGAAGGTAGAAAAGAAGTCGCCATTTTTGAGGTATTGTTTGATTTAGGAGAGAGAAAATGGAGATGAAGATGTAAAGATGAAGATGAATTTGATGGAGTTGGATGAAAGAAAGGTAAAAGGGAGAAGGGGGTATTTAAGGAGGGAGCGGAAAAGGAAAGGATAAGATTATGTACACGTAGCAGTTAGAAAATATTAAAAGCATGTTTAATTTTCACGATTTAGACGGAGTACACGGTTTTCGTGACTTGTATTTTAACTTTATTTTGACCGGTTACTTGTGTTATCGGTATTCTGGTATGGGGAAAGAGAGGTGATAATTTGGACGGAAATGTTCTTACAAAGTTTGGATATATTGATGTTGGGAGTAAATTTTAGATATTTTTTTTCATGGGTTTAAATTTTGAGGTTATCTATTGTAGGGATGGGTCATGGATTGGATAGTATCGATTGGGCCGATATAAAAATGATTCGGTTTGATGCAAGCATAATAGGTCGGCCTGCTTATTGTCATCTATTCATAGGATAATATTTCGTAAAAATTATTAAGGAGTCTGCTAGCACAATATGTGGGTCGTTCCGTGCATGAGCAAAGATCTACACTAGTTTAGCACAATATGACTTTTTCATGGCTCATTCAATACGTGATCCGCTTGAGTATACTAACAGGAGTACAAGTGGGCTTGTATGACCCTGATCATGCCCATTTCTAATCCATCCATGGAGTACATTATTTAAAACGCGGCTTAGTATTTCCAATAATGTAAAATGAAGATTATTCAATGTACATGTATAAAATGAATAATACTGCAGATTATACTTTTATAATATGTTCATCAACTGTCATTTCTAAGTATTCTAACAAATGCTACTAATAACAATGTGAATTGTGAGAAATTCTCACCTTTAACTATGTTGTCTCCATTGGAAGATATTTATTTCTCTATATTTTACAAGAATTAAAGATCTAATTACAAGTGGTAAGGGTTTACAAAATCTAATATGGACTAGTATGGCCAATGCAATGGATATTCGTATTCAATGTATACGTACACAAAGCATATCCTCGGAACAACATTTAAGCCTTAGGTTTCCAAATCCAAATCGAACGAACTCTTAGAAGTTAGAAGCCCACATGCATGACTACAACAAAGTAAGGGTCAAGTTAACACAATTGGAAGGGTCTAATTTTAGATTTTTTTTTTTTTTTTAATTTTTTTATTTTTATAAGGTGGTTTCCTACAATTCTCCAAGAAAATGGATGGAAGAGGCATATGCTTATGCTAGTCACGTTTTTTTATGGTCAGAAAATAAATTCTCGTGTTAGAATTAGAAGAGGAATTAAAATTATAGTTGTATGATTTTTGGAGGTATTTGGAAGGAAATCAAGGAAGATCTAGATACACATATAAGGACACAAACCCACTTATCATTAGTCTCTTTCAAGGCCAGGCCATAAGCTCCTTCTTTGCAACTGCCCATTGAGAAAATTCCCATCCCAAGCACATTTATATGAGCCGTGCTTTATGTATTAGGTTCACATGGAACAATATTTTAACGACAAATTTTAAAAGTATTCTTTATATGGTGTTAAGACTTAGGAGATGACGTAAAAAGCACGTAAAAGTTCAATCTTTATTAAAGGTTTCAACCGGCAAATGACAAATGTAACTCAAAACCATTGAAGTAATTTTGTCTATTGATCTAGCAAGTTATAATGTTTCAAAATTGAGACGTCTATTAATGTACATTGTGAATCAAGCCTTTGGTAACATATATAGTGTGTGACCACATATCATCTCTGTTTAGTAATTAGTGGATAGTTGGTTGTTAAGAGTTAGTTGACTTAGTTGATTTGATTAGCTAGTTATATTAAATGTATTGACTAGCTGATTGTATTAGTTATTGTTTGTATAAAACTGTTTGCTAAATTTAGTTGAATACTTGTAGTTATTTTGTTAATTGAACTTGTAAAATGACAAATAAAGACATTGGTATTTGGGTAGGTAGGGAATAGGGATGTGTAAGTTATACTTGATAGTAACTTTAGAACAAAATTGTCAATCGACTAAAATTTCTCAACCCGTATTTTGAAAAAGCTCTATTTTCAGCTTTTTACAACTTAATATAACCAACTTAATCAGCTGTTTGAAATTGGGAAAACTTGATCAATTTCTAAACTTTAACCAAGTACAAGTGTACAATACAGAGAAACGTTCTTGATGCTTGCCTAATTATGATCATGGGAAAAAAGTTAAATTTGGCATGATTGAATGAAGAATTGATTCATATTTAGTTGGGCTTTTATGATACCATTTTCAATTTTCAAGCCCCATATTCATATTGGGTCAATTAGATAACATTGGCCTTTATTGCAATGAGGAATAAGTTTATCGAAATATATTTTCATCAAAATAAATGGAGTCTTAAAATTCTATATTTTACACGAAATTTAATTAAATGAAACATAGATGCATATTAAACATAACATTATGTACTCTTCTGAGTGAGTCCCGATTCGTATGATTTAAATGTTCACATAAATTACGCCACCACCAAATCAACACCTTTGGGTACCAAACCAGTGAGCTTCACCATACCCTCTCCAAACTCTTTATAATCCTTCTTCACATTTTTTGCCTTGATATCGTCTCCACATTTCCCACATTTTTCATTCGGAAGGTTTGATACTATAACAATCTTCTCCAATGATTCATACGCACCAAGCAAGCACTCAGCGAGCTCTAACTCGCAAGGCCGGCCACGAAAGCCATGAATCTCAACCAGCTTCCAGCATTGATGGTGATGAAATTGCTTCGCTGCAAGCCTTATTTCACTGTAATGCTTTGCGGCCTTTGCCTGATACAAAGACTTCAACTTCGTCCACTAAAAAGGCAAAAAAATTACTATGAAAATATACCCTTGATAGCAATCTATTAATACAAAGCTGAGGAAATGATCACAAACCTTATTAGCAGCTTCCACTATCGAATCAATGTGAATCGAATCTTGTGAATTCATTATCTACCATTAAGCGATAGAAAATCAATATCACAAACATATACAACACCGGTACAACACATACACTATATAACGTTTTTCGATTCAATGTCTAATGATTAAGAGTAAGATACAACATGGCTTATAACTGTGTTATTTTTATCCCATTTCTATCAGTACTTACATTAGAAAATCCAATCATAAACCGAAGCCTAAAACAAAGTGGCCTAAAGCTAGTCCTAGCACAATTATTCATATACTAAAACAGATTTCTGATTACATGAAAATTCATGAATAAACAGAAAGGGCAGATATATCAATACCTTAATTGAAAGTTTATGCAAGGAGGGAGCTGCCTTGATCAGAAGAACCGGCCAAAGAAGACAGGAATCACGTTCTAGCTACTCAAGCTTTGGTAGTTGTGGAACATCAAGAGGATACGTTGGTTCAATGCAATCCTAAATAAAAAAACACAAAGATTTACATAAATGCAGCTTAGAAAAAAAAAAAGAAAAAAAAAATAGCTAGTATGAGTTTATATTTACCACATTAAACTCAGTGATAACCAACTTAAGCGTCTTGACTTGAAGGATGTATCCAAAATTCAACGAACCGGTTTGCAGTGAAAAACTGCTTAGACCCATATATATACAGAGCATCGAGACATTGATACCTTAAGGACAATAGACTTGGTGACCGCAAACTTAAGGGGTTCCGCGATTTGTGGATGTCAACTAGCTCTAGGCTCTTCAACTTAAGAGATTGAATTTCAATATACAGCCTATCTATCATCGACGAGTACAAGCATAAGCGCTCAAGAGAAGGACAATTGTACAACAATAAGTTCATAGCTTGGGTGGTTATGTTTACATGTTTCAAGGAGAGTTCTTTCAGGTTATATAAGGCAGGGTAACGAACATTCTTAATAAGGTTGTTATGACCACCAGGTTAACAAAGTCTTGAAATCATTTCTAAATGGTAAGGAATAATTATTCTTCCCTCGACGGGTGACTGCAGCCTTGCCATTGCATGAAAAGTCCAATTCAAGTCGGGCTACCTTTTTTCGAAAGGCGTACTCTACCCATTGATGAATATCACGAGTGCTAATATAATCAAAATCGAAACAAACTGTCAATTCTTCTAGTGTTGGCTTGGTATAAGCTTCCAAGACGCGAGTGATCACATTTATGATAAATGACCTTAACTCTTTAACATCTAGGGAGCGAGGGCAGTTATGACAGCGAGGTGAAGCGAAAATCTCAGCTTAGACGTACTGTTATAGTCCCATAACTTGTGCCATCTACGAGAAAGGATGCCACATCTGATTGCATCTTTCAATCCCAACTTTAGTAGTATATGTGACACAATAATTTCGTCTGGCAGCCGGCTAAAATCATCTGTATCCTCCCTGGCTTCTTCAGTTAGCAGACGACTCTATAAAAAACAAATGGCAACACGAAAAGTATAGTGAATCTCATCATTGGTTCATGGTAAGCAGTATGAATAGCGTGATACATCCGGTTGTACCATGAACACCTCGAGGGTGGGGGGTAATAGGAAATTTGTTGATATTGTATTCGCATAAAAGAAAATAATAATACAACTATAGTGTGAATAATAAAGATACATAATCAAGAAGGATGATTATCTCCCAATTAGAGATCGAGATTATGTAAATTAATACTGGCAGTAGTTATTGATAACATCGATTTAGGTTTAGTTTAGTAATCATATATTCATATCACTAACTAATGTTAACTATTTCTCTCCTTCACCAAAATTGGTGTAAATGTTCATATGTGCACCACATACATCGACATGTAATAGACGTGCGAGTGCGACGTGGTAGTGGGGACTATGAGTTGAGTACTTGAGTGTTATCATGTAATGTACGAGCCAATGAACGAGAGAAAACTTACCGTTGGAATTGAATGTGCATGCATCGTTTTTACATGAACTAAACTCAAAAAAACTTGTACAAAAATCAGGGAAAAAACAAACTATTATTAACCCGGCCAATTGTATGATCGATGTTAGATTTTGTGAAACTCCTCAAAGTGGAGTGTATTCCATTGATCAATATAATATAGGGATTATAATATGAGTCCTAAATGTGTTAGAAAACCTCAAAAGATAAATATATACAATATTCACAAAATATATCCTAAACTGTAATAGATGGAATATCTTATCATATATTCTATCAATTGATTTGTTGCAAGGAAAAACTTATTGTACATACAAATAACGGACTACCAAAAAATAAATTACTAGGTATTATAATCGAGTTCATAATGTTGGGTGAGGCCTAAATTTTAATAGGCCCATTATTTTGATGGAGCATTTGTTAATATTCTAGAAGCTTTTGGATACATGTAGTGTAGTTGGTATTGCTCTTCATTTCTCTATATTTTTCTATTACCTTGTATCATACAAGTCATTAAAATAATTTAGAGAATTTTTAACATTGGAAGTAACTAGAAATATGGTTTGTGAATTTTCTAGAACATCATGGATATAAGAATGATAGAAGGAATTTCTAGAATCTTCTGGCCATTTCTTCCAAGCACCATCTAGTCTAGAACTATAAATATGAGTCATGGGCATTCAAAGACACACAAGAGAAGCCACATACTTACTACGAAGTATTAGGGCACCGTACTATGCAATCGTGAAAAAATGTTCTTATTATATATCAAGATTCAAAATTACTTAGTAATCGTATTTGTCAAACTTTTATTATTCCAAAATACATCAAATATTTTTAAGATATTTTATAATAGGTTTGAAATCACTAGATAGATTTTGTAAAAAGAAATATTGCAATCAAACTTGACGAGTCTTTAAATTTTGAAAGTGTATTATTACATCATCAATTTTATTATCTTTAAGTAGAAAAGTAATCTCAAATTATCATGGTAAGTTTTTGTGTTATTTGGGATAATGGAAGAATAAACTAAGAGAAAAAAAAAATGAATATAATGTTGAGCAAGAGATTAAAACTCTTGACCTAAATAGGCAATGTTCCAACTAACCATTAGGCTGCTGTTATGCTTGAACATAATAATAAACTTTGTATTTTAGTTAAACAAAATTTTAAACATTTTTTTTTTCGTGATAGGGCACGTGCCGTATCTAAACACAAGGTGGCGTAAACACAAGGTGGCTTCGCCACTGTATCCACATTTCTCTACGAATCCACTATTCCTAGCTAGTTTAAATCCTTTGTCCCACTTTTCATGTCCCATTTGTGTTCCACTCATTTTGATTGGTTGTCATTATTACAAGGTTCCACTTTTCAAAATATAATAGAAAAAAAAATATTATGACAACCAATCAAAATAAGTGGAACACAAATGGGACATGAAAAGTGGGACATAAGATTTTTTCCCGATTACAACTGCAATCAATATTCATTTAGAAGTAAATTAAACCAATTAGCGAAAAAGTTGAGCAAATAAAATGAAATACAAAGATTAGATATTTAGATTATATACGGAGTACCCTTTAGTCACAAGCGTTTGTAAACGACATATTCAATGAAGTTATTATAGTTCCAGAATTCTATGTTTGAACTTTGAAGCAAAAAGTTTTTGCAAGTGATGTTACAATTTGCAAGTGATGTTACAAGTCCAAAAAACGTCTAATGAAGTAAAAGAATTGCTTTACGTCTACATGAACTTGTTCTCTTCACATGAAACGAAGCGTTCTAATTTGGTTTGAATTTTTTTAGGTTTAATCGGCTTTGATTTGATGTAGTATTTTGACTACACCCCCTGTCAAAAAAAAAAAAGAAAAAAAAAACTTCGATCGCCATCTCTTGCAATTTTTTTATTACCATTACAACATTTTAACAAAATAACTGTATAATCGAAACAAATTCATTTTTGGGACTTTATAGACCTATTATGGTTCAAAACCAACTTTTATAACCTCGGGGGATTCACTCACATTCACATCAATTTTGAGAAAAAATTCTGAATTTGTCGGAAAATGTGGATTATAGCCTTCAATTTTAGACAATTTTTTACTTTTCAAGTCCAAAAAAGAAAAGAGGTCGAGTGCTATCCATGGATACCACGAGACCAACCATGGGAGGTCATTTGAGTGGTTGGAACCGTCCAATTTGCCATTAAAACTATCAATTTGCCCGGTCACATACATGTGTAGCTTTATCAACTTAAGGCCACCGCGTGCCTTTATATATGGTTCCAATATGACCCCAAGTACATCCTATACCATCACATGAGTTTTTGACGCTGGGTCGTAAAATCTCATTAGGCATCGAGGTACTTTCCACGGTTCACAAAGGGCCCTGGGAAGCCTATTTGGTACTCATAACTAATTTATTTATGCCTTGGTCTTGTGTTGCTTTGCCTTAGCTGAGTCCTTGCACTACCTTGACTTTGCCATATTTAGAGAAACCTAAAAATGCTCCTAAGGCAAGCCACACTACCCACTAGGCCACTACTGCCACATTCATGTAGGTATATTTGTTTTAAGGTTGATGTGTTTTTATGTCTTTTGCCCAATCCCCATGCCTAGGCCAGGTCTTGGCTGGACGACAACATCAGCGCCCATGACTTGGCATGCCTTGGCTGGCAGATCGAGGCAGCTAGCATCATCATTGTTGATTATTCTTGCAAACCATGAGACACGGTTCGTTCCATAGATTATGTCCTTTTTAGATTCTTTCATAAGGCCTTCAACTATGAACAATTGTAAACAACTACTGTACAATCAATATGTCTATATAACTTTATCATCAAAAGGTTAGACCTGTAAGCTGTAACTATTTTTATCTTCAGAAATACTAGTAAACTGTAATAAAGTAGTTTCTATCAAAAGATTAGGTAATATACTATGAAGTACTGGTCTATATATAAGGGGAGAAGGTTTAAAATCAAACCCCCATATTCTGAAACTCTAAGGGGGTGTTTGGTATCAACTTAGTAAAGGTAACGGAATGGAAACAAATTAGGAGGGGAAAAGGGTAATGTATATTGTTACCCTTGTTAGTTGTTTGGTATTACTAAGGAAACGTAAACGATTGCAACTAATTCATTTCCTTTTGTTTGGCATAAAAAAGGGAAAACAAAATTTTCACAAAAAAATTTTCATAAAAAGGGAAAGCTGCTTTATTGCTTCAACCTGTTCAAAATTCTTTTCTCTTTTTTCTTACTCCAATTTAATTACTCTAATTCAATAACCAAAATCATCACATCATCAAAAATCAGATGACTAGATCACTTTTTTCTTTTATTGATCATAAAAACACAATTACACCATATTGAAATCAATAGACCATCAAAAATCAAAATTATCAACATCAAATCAATTCATCGCAAAGGCAGATCAATCTTCATCATCAATCGTCATGAAAGCTCATTCATTTTTTTTTCTTTTTTCTTTTTTTAATTTTTGGTGGGTGAAATGTGAGAATGATGAGTTGTTGAGCGATTTTATTTGACCCAATTTTGACGAGTCTTGAATAATGAAGCAAGATCTTGAACAATGGCATGCTGAGAAATCGAATTCAAAAGAGAGATTGGGTGAGTAAGAGCATTGGAAGAGAAAGTCAATGAGAAATGTTAACATTGTTGAATGCAGGAAACGGAATTTGTTTCCTTGGGTCAAAGAGCGGAACCAAACTAGGGGAACTGTTACACCCAGGTAACGGTATTGGTTACTCTCTGGCCAAACAAGCGGTAACGGAGTGGGTTATTTGAATCCATTTCCATGCCTTAAAAAATCCATACCAAACGCCCCCTAAATTTACATATTTGTGTCATCTTTGATGACAACAAGGTGATCTCCATCTCTAATTACCTCAATACAATCAATTTCGGCACCATTATCAGTTTCAACTCTCAAAGGGAAAATTCCGAACTTTTTAGCTATCACATTCAATAACTCCTCAAAGCTATTTGGTAATAAAACAACCACCTTCCTAAGTTTTCCTTCTTGCTCACAACTAATGGTCACTCTAGAAGCGACATGGTTCTCCTGATGAGCATCGACCTTTCTACCAAAATATTCATGACCTATGCCAGGAAACAGATCACTCTGTCCACTTTGAGCAGCTGATATAACCCCAAATATTGAGTTACGGAAGTTATTAGCCTTCCTCCTCGGCCTCATCCCTGATCCTACTGATGCTGATCCATCTTCGGACAAGTTATGGTGTTCTTGTGTCAAATTTGGTGCACTAGTATACCTCCCTAGGAAACGCACTTTGTTTCTATGCTCATCAGGAACTTGGAGCACTACTTGAGGCTTAGATCCTACCTTGGCTTGGAATAGGGCAGATATTTGCTCATGACCCTGCTGTTCAGCAAGGGCTCTTGGAGTCCACTCACTGATGTCTGGCAGGTCAATATGCGCCCCTTGATCAAGCAGATACTCGACGATCTTGATGTTTCCTTCGCTAACTGCCACGTGCAGGGCCGTCCTTCCTATGAACTTTGAAGCAGATATCTCACTTTGAGGAAAGGCAGTAGAAGTAACTGCTGGGAATGTTACATCACCACTATAGCTGACAATTTTTTTGAGGAGGTCTAGGTTGTTTTGCTCGGTAGCTATACAAGCATACAGACCGACGTCACCAGCACAAATCTTAGCACCATGACTTATTAGAAGTTTCACCACCGCCTCATGACCACCCTGCATTGCATTCCATAATGGTATGTTCCCTTCTTGATCTGTGCTCAAACAGAAAAGGAAACATTTCATAAAGTATGTCAGACATGCCGAGTTCTCATTATCTGTAATTAGAATTTAAGAGCTAATGATATGTACCTTTGCAATCAGGATCAGCACCATAATCTAGCAGTAGATACACACATTTTTCACTTCCATTCGATGCTGCAATGTGCTGCAGTTTTGAGGCCAAAAAATACAAACATAAGTAGTTAGAAATGAGAAATACATGAATACTACTACTAGCTATTATGTAAGTCTTGAAATAATGAAAAACATACAAGAGCTGTCCTTCCACGTTCATCTGTTTCATTTGGATCTCGTCCTTGTTTCAGCAACCGATGTATCAAATGACCATCCCCTCTTGCAGCAGCAAAACATAGGCTTATCGGTAAATCAAGCCTACCATGACCCATCATCTTCTCTATCTCAGCCATACTTTCCTTTGCGGTGTTGTCATTCTTGTGCTCCTGCTCTTTCAGATGCTGCCCAAGAAAATATAAATTTGACGCACACAAACAATAACAGTCTCTGATAATAAAGACTTTGATTTATCATGCAGAATACCTGTAAGAGATTATTCATGATTTTGTTCCCATCTCCTACATTGGACTGCACAATGTTCAAGAAATTTGTACGATTTATCCGTAACAACTGACAGAGCCGCCTGGTTGTCACTGTATACAGATGAGGCCTATAACAAAGTACAGCAACTTCACCACATATATCACCTTTGTTCAACTCTCCAATAATAACCTGGAATGTGCAAATAAACAGAAAGAAGATACATACTGTAAAAAAAATCCTCAAGCATGGATAATTTGAACTTTTAGGCACACAGGAAGTATCAAATTGTAATTAACTTGCCTCATTTACTCCATCACCGCCCCGGGTAAGCTCCTGAAATCATATAAAATAAATATCATTAGATCAGGAAAACTGCAACATTTTCTGCTATATATGAATAAGCTTTAATTTGGTTCTGCAAGTTTACCAATGAGCCATTAACAACTATGTAGAAGTCAGTTGGCGCTTCATTTCGGAGAATGACATTCTCCTTTGGAGCGAAGTATTCTGCTTTCATCTCAGACACCTTCATACAAGGAAATCTAGTTGATCAAAGAACATAAGAAATATATAACTCAGTTGAAAGAGGAGGTCTTTAGTGAGGGTACCAGCTGAAAGAGAAGGTCTTTGGACACTTCACGGAACAAATACACTTTTTCTACTAAAGAGTAGAAAAGGTGTTCTGAAATGTTTGATCTGATTGCTTTAGGTAAGGAATCGAGTATTTGTTGTTGCTGCAGTCCCTCGGTATCCATTCGATGCTTCAAAGTGATATGTGCAATCATCTGTTCCTGCAATTGTTGAGGAAGTTGGTGCCTTTGTGCAAAACTCGAAGCTGCTTGAATGGTATCCCTCTGTTTAAAAACAGAACAAAAGTGAATCACACAAGGAAATAGATTACTTACATATTCAATGACTGTAATAGTGTAATTGTACACCAAGTCTATTGTTCAACTCACTATTACTCATTCCAAAACTTTTCGTATAGTTTTCTTAGAGGATTAAAATGATTTTCTTCCTATGACAACCATTATAGTTTTATCCTTACTCGACAATAATAGACAACGAAAGATGGCCTTACATATTTCCTAGTTCGGCTACTGCCATGGACAACCAAGTTGGTCATGTTCCCTATTATATATGCAGTGAGTCCAAGGTTGAATAGCATGTAGAAAACATCGAAAAGCATCTCGTCTCTGTTGACAGGATGCAAGTCACCATAGCCAACAGTCGACATAGTAGTGATAGCCCAGTAAACCGACATCACATATCGTGTCCACAAACTGAACTGAAGGAAATCTTCCAAGGTTGATCCAATCCATGTAGCCCTTTTATCTCGATGATGTGCAGCAATATGATAACAGAAACACCCAGCACAATGTACTACAAAAAGGGTTATCTGAAAAGAAAAGAAAAGGAGAGATTCAACAAACATTAATCCAGTAAATCAAAAACAGTATTAGAAATAAATAACCTTCAATAAATCAAGTAGATACTTACAAGAATAAGCTTAATACATCGAATCACAATGTAGCTGTATTGTCTATCTTTCTCCAGACTGTTAACATTGTGACTATTAGTTTGAATCAGCTTTTAAAATCTTTCTAATATGCTCCAACACTCGAAATAAGTGTATACCTGGAAAAGAGCCTACTGACTCTTCTTAGACGCCATAGACGGAACATGTTGAACACACCATAAGTTCGTGTAGAAGGAGGTAAAATCTTCTGAATAAGTTCAGAGGGGATAATGGAGATAACATCGAGAGGCATCTTAAAGCTAAAAATGTACTTCATGGCTATTAATTTTCGATCATCAACAAATATGTATGTTGTTTTATCAAGGTATGCAACAAAGAATGTAAGGATGATGTCAAGAGCAAAGAACCCATTGACAATATTGTCAACGATTGATATTGGCGTCGTAGGCTTGTCAAGAAAACCAAACTCGAATGGAGAGATCCAAGCCGTGTAGAGCACCAGAATTACCAATAAATAATCCCATTTCCTGCAGGCAACCAAAAAAACGTGACAAAATTGAAAATAAACTTATGACATTTTCTCAAATACATACATATCACAAACCATATTCAGATAATGTTGGAACAACAAGTGTGTAGTGTGTGAATTTTGTGAAAAACTCAAAGTCCCACATTGGTGGGAAATGAGAGTTTTACTCTCTTTATAATATAGAGAGTGGGCTAAAGGGGTGTGGCCCTTGGGCTACCCACATTTTGTGGAGAGGGAGGACCTATATGGTAAACCATATATCACACACGCGCCGAACCGAGCCGGGCTGGGTCGGTTTGGGTTATTAAAACAAACTTAATTTTTGTTACCGGCTTGATTCTCGTTGTTGTTTTTGATTCTTGCTTAACGGGTACACTAATTGCAGTAAACGTTGCTAATCTTTCTCCCGTTTTCATGCTTAAGCTGTTACGTATCTTTACCTATAAAAGGACGGTTCCAGCTTTGTTTTTAAACACACGGAAAAAAATACAGAAAACCACTTTGCAAAATATATTTTCTCTTCCTCTCAAAACAGTCGAGCAGTTTCTTTCTGATTTTCTGGTGTTCCGTTGTCCGGTGGTTCGGTGCAAAACCGCCGGTATTTTATACTTGTGAAAGACTGTTTTATCCCGGGGGCATCCGGTTTGGTACGAGCTGCTTCCACAAGTTTGAGGCAGTGTCGCGAATGTTCTAAAGAGAGCGACATAGTCCGCGACTCAGTCTTATTCTCGGTAACATTGTTCTTACTATTTTATTTGTGCAATTCCGTTTATAACAGATAATTATCAATAATCCTTTGAATTAAGCATAACCTCTACTAACAACTGAGAAAGGTGCTAATCTAGTTAGTTTAGTTCAAAGGTAAGTACTTATTATTATGGACTATACTCCAAAATTGTATACTGTATAACTCTAAATATTATGATTGGTAACCTCGAATAACATGATATGCAACCTACACATAAAGTTATATGTATGGAGCAGAGAAATAAGGAAGAAATCAGGTACTAGATTGTTTCAGAGCAACAGTTGGTAAAGATCAAGATATGACCAAGTAAAAAATTTGTGTCAATTGGCATATACTAGCATTATAGCCCTTGTATGTTCTTGAATGTCACTCTCACCTAAAGAACACGAGTATTATAACACTACTACGTCTACTAGTACTATGTATTCCATTGCTATACGTTGTGTAGTACAAAACATACTGCCATTCCATATAAACTATAACATTTTTGGTATGTCACCAAAAACTTACATCGTTCCCTCTTTAGATAACTTTTGTTTTTGTTCAAATTTTTTTTTAATAACGCGGTTACATTAACTTTTCTCTTCCTATTATAGATAGAGCAACTAAACACTGCATTTTTGGTACTCCTTATATGTCTCTAAAACAACTACAAACTGTGCAACATTCCCTCTTTTGCTAACCTGTGTTTTGTTTAAACTAATTTGTATCGAGTTCACATTAATTACTTGCTTGTTTCTTTCTTTTAAAAAGAGTTCCGAATTCATATATATGTCATACTAATTGTTATATCGAAACAAAATGACTAATTTATCGGTTGTTAGAACAGCTCAAAATAGGTCAATAAGGGGGTCATTTATTAAAGTTACACCAAAATTATTTTTCCTAAAATGCAAATAGGATTTTGACAACTTTTTGTTAAAAAGCCCCCTAATGTAAAATCATTGCTACAATAATAATAATTCATAAATTATTATTTTCATGAAATTCCTAAAATGTCAAAAAAATGCTACAGTTTCATCCACCAATTTATAAAACAAATCAACAAAACATCATGAAACAAAGTAACAACAAACATTCACATTGGACAAGTTTTTCCAACTTTTCAAACTTCAATGCGACAATTTATCAAACACATTGCATGCAATATGGTTCACAAATTTAATTATTTATTTTTTTATTAATTAAGCTTCTATGTGACTATGTGGGTCAATAGCAATCTTCATTATTCACACAAGAAAATGCAAAACACCGTTTTCGACAAAATTAATTAGAGTAATTAATTAATTTATTTATTTATTTTTTTTTTTTTTTTTTTAAGAATAGTTTAGTTTATTGGTAAAATCCAAAGCAAACACAAAATTAGAGTTCCCATTGCTAAGAAGTCGGAATATAAAGTTAAAAGTTTGTTACATGCCCTAACTACGACACATGATAAACCTCTAACGATGGATTTTCTTGGTTCACATTGCAATCACTTGTACTTTAAGTAATTTTCGGCATTCTTAGGCGTGTTTAATGGTGTAATCGAATGGCAACGCATTATCACGAGTACATGACTACGTCCAATTGAATTTCCATGCTCTCGAAACCACTAGAGGTACGTAAATTTTATTGTAACACAGTAATTTTAATTGAAATATTAAACTTCGGAGCTACTAATTAATATTATCATATATTATGAACCCGAGGAACTAGTAATATAATAATTTGGTACAGATGGAGTATCATCAACTATGATTGAAAAAAGAAAAAACACATAATTAAGAGAAGAGATTAATAAGATGAAAAGAACAAAACCTGTATCGACGGTCAAAAGGAGAAATAACAAATCGTCTGAGATTAACACGACAATGGCTTCGAGCACCAAGAGATGGCAAAACCTCAGCCGTTAGATCATAACCAGTATGACTTGAAGCTTCATGCTCTGTTTCTTTTGCTGAACCACAATTTAATCTCTTCAATAACAATTTACTCAACATTCTTTTTTCTTAATTTATAATTACACTTTAATTACTGTTATTTTCTTCTTCTTCTTTTTTCTCTCAAACCCAGAAAATTTCTACATGAATACATCACAATTTAAGAGTTTTGGTTTTATTATATTTTTAAGGGAATTTATTATTTGCGAGATTTCTTTCTCTTATAAAAAAGTTAAGAACTTGGTGCCTTAAATAGGTAGGGAAGTGATTTGAGTGCACCTTTTTTTTGTATTTACTGTATTCTTTAGGTTTCTCTTTTGCCAAGGATGCTAATCTTTTTGGTAATATTTTTTTTATTATTAAATAAGAACAAATAAAGTTGATATTAATTCATCAACCTCAGAAATTTGAAGATCAATATAAATTTTGGTTGATGCAGAAGTATTTAAATTAATTTTTCCTATAAACAAAATAATAATGACAATTTAGGTTATTCGTTGTAAATATTAAAAAAAAAGTTATTATAATGACTAATATATGATACTTACCGTTAAAATATTTGACCATTGTTGAAGTAACAACTATACCAAAAGGCTTACTGGAATCAGCAAGTAGGTCTTTTTGTCTTAAATAATCAGAAAATACTTATCCCTAATCTTTAATTGGATTCGTTGTCCCCTAACTATGATATCAAGATACAAATAATTTACTAATAAATCTAGAATAAGTCAAATATAAATTATCTTACAATTATAAGTTTTAGTTTATCGTAATTAATAATAATAATAATACATACAAATATATTAAAATAATAATTACCATTTGTCTTCTATTTCAAAAAAAAAAAAAAGAGAGAGAGTTAGTAAAACGAATGATAACACTATAATATTTTTTAAACAATAAAAATTGAAAATATGTAAAATATATACCAGGGAGTGTTGCATTACTACGGAATTGATCTAAATGTTGCAATTGAACAAAATCAAATCTATGCAACGGAATTTTATTATTATCTGCAACCCCCTTAACAGATGTATTTTGAAAAAATTGTATCATTATCTTGTTATTGCTCACAACACAATATTGATTTTTATTAGGTACAACAAAAAAATATCGAATTGTGTAAACTTTGCCTTCAATTAGTTTTGAGCGAAATTGTTGGACAAATTTTCCTTTGATTGAAGTATGGACATAATCACCCTACATGTGCAAAATAAAATTATATGTTAAAATAATATTGTAAGTTACACAATAAATTTAAAACGATAAGTATTATCAAATAAAAAAATAAAATTAAAGGCATACCTCTTCGTCAATTAAAACCATGTCCAAACTAATCAAACTATTATATTTTCGAAAGTTCAAAACATCAAAAAGCCTTGATACGCGTACTTTAATTTTCCAATCATTTTTGGAAGAATTAAGTTCTCGAATCGACGAAGTAGACCTAAGAAAACAATACAATGAAAAAAATAGTTAAAAATAATATTACCAGTAATTATAATTTGAAAAAAAAAATTGAGTTTAAGGAATTACACCGACATTTTCTTAAACCTCAATATGCAATTTGTTTTGTATGAGGAATTGTGTGATTCTTTGATGGTGCGTGAATTAAATTAATGCCTATTTATAATAATAACAAATCATAAGCTAATTAAATCAATTTATATCTTTTCCCCAACTTAAATTTTATCATTTTATTAAGTATCGAAACAATTGATAATATTTTGCTTGACTGATAAAATAGATAAACCTGCTGAGTGTCTTCGTTAGAGGCTTTAACCAAAAACAGTGTGCAACGGATTATAGAAGGCCGCAATCTTTTGGCAAATTGCCTTGATAAGGCTTATCTTTTCCTCAGCTTAAAGTTTGAATAGATTAAATCTGTTGGGCCTTTTAGTGTGCTGACTAATTATGTTTTTCTTTTGTTTGTAGTCACTTTGTTCCATTAAACTTGGAATTTTCGTTCTGATTTGCTTGACAATTATGGGCTTTTGCTTCTGATCTACTTCGTGGTGCAACCTTTTGTAAGCACTATACTTAATTAAGAAAAAAAAAAGAAAAAAAAAACTATCAATTCTACTAATACTCTCTGGATAACAATAATTTAAAAAAGATAAAAATTTATAGATATATCAAATCTTTCTTCTTATTTTCTTATTGGTCGGAAAAAGTATATTTTTAATTCAAAAATAAATACAAATCTTTATTCTTATTGGCCGAAATAATTATATATCAAATCTTTCTTCTTATTTTCTTATTGGTCGAAATAAGTATATCTTTATTCTTATTGGTCAAAATAATGATATTTCTTACGTGGAAAACGAATTTTTTAATTCCAAAATAAAATAGAAATTATGTGGCAAAATTCTTAAATCTTATTCGTCACTTTTGTTTAGGTGGCAAACGAATTTTTTAATTCCAAAATAAAATAGAAATCTAATTTTTAATTGGTCAAAAACATACCTTTGCTTACGTGGCGCGCCGAATGCTCTTTAAAAATGCCTACTTTATTTATATATATTAGATTTTTATCCCCTGTTTTACAAGAAATGGAGCCCTATTTTAATATTTTTACCTTCTTTAAATTCTTTAGGTTATTTCCTAAAAAAAAAAAAAAAGGTTTTTAGGTTATTTTTTATATTAATTGATTTTCGAGAATATGATAATTTTTAATATATTATTTTCTCTGTTCTCTTTTTTCTATATGGTAATATCATTAATAGATTTCTTTTAGAAAAAATTTCTAAAAAGAGGATTGTGTAACGTTGTTAATATGTTTTACTCCATTGTCTACATATATCAAGAATCCAATAATGTTGTATTGATAATCTAATTGAACTCATAATACGATAATTAAAATTTGATAAGAGGAGTAAATTTGTAGGTTTTTCTATTTGAATTATTTTTTAGGCTTTTACTCCGTACATATTGATCTTCCTTTTTACATCTTTAAGAAAAAGGAATTGAATAGGTGTATTGGTCAACCTTTACATCAAAAACCAAGATCTCAATATTATTAAACTAAGGCCCTATACCTATTCACAACAAAAAAAAAAAAAAAAAAAAAAAAAAAAAAAACTAATGCCCTTTACTATTCACCGTATTTAATAAATTATGATGTGATCATAAGAACAGATGAAGTATTACATTTACAGCTTGACCCACTAGCACAACAAAATACCAATGTTGATTCACTTGCTTTAAAATTTGCTCATAAATTCTTTTTAAAAAAAATATGTTATTTGCGGAGTAGAAAAATTGAGTAAAATTCATTTTAAGGGTTTTTTTTTTTTTTTGTGATGATTTATGGATACAAGTACAATTTATTTTCTAATTATGGAAACAATCGAAATACCCATAATAATGCAAAAGATTTGTACATTTTCTTCCTTCCCAAGCCAAAAATTTTAAAAATGAAAACAAATCACTTACTTACTTGAAATAGAATCTTCATTAAATATTTGCTAAAAGAAAAAAAAATCTTCATTAAATAATGTTTCCTTAATTTTTTATATTTTATATTTTTAAAAATTTTTCTTAGTTCTTTGTCTCATTGAGATCGAGTAGCATTCGAGACGGTATTTGAATGATTTCTTTAGTATAGTCATATGTATTCAACTTTTGCCGCCTTATGTACTTCTTTGGTCGAATAAGAAGAAGTTGTGCAGGAAGTCTTAAACCTGCAAACTGATGTCATGTCCAACACTATAATTTAGCCAGATTTTTAGTTTATGCAACGATATGATATTAAAATCATCATAAATGAAGATTTTTTTTCTTAGCCAATAATATGCCTTCATATGGGATAATGGGAATAATGAAAAATATGCATGTGTATGGATTTTAAAATTAAAATTGGATGGATAGAATTATCAAGATATACAACTATATGTATAACCCAAAAGATAAAATGGGAGAAAAACGTTGGCCATTAAAAGGGATGGAGATACAAATAGGAGATTCAAAAAGAAATATTCATTCATATACATTGGCAAATCTCGTCCAATCATAATTAAGAGTTAACTACGAATTCTCTACAAAAGATATGTGTATCACTCTTTCCATATACAATAATAATGCATGTAACCAAAAAAACCAACCAAAGCTTGGTGGGGATTCTCTTACCCCCACCCCCTCCCACTCCCAAAGAGCCTAGTCGGTTGACTTGGAACAGATGGCCTTGTGAAAGGTTCCGATCTGATGGGGTCATCCTTCTCCTAATCAAAATTATATATAAAAAAATATAACTAGAAAATCTTATGTAACTAGAAAAGACGTGTCTCTTTTTTTCTTAACCGAACCCGTGGGCAAAAACAAAGATTAGACTAATTATAGACTAAAAAGTAGATACCATTAATTAGTGTGTAGGTTAAGCCCCAAAATCAAAGCTAAACTAACATGCATGTGTCAACGAACGTTGAATCTCACCGTGATCCACTACTTTATTTTTGGTAACAATTGACTTTATACATACTAACCGAAAGGCTATATTATGTCTTTGTTCATGCTATATATAATTCATGTATAATTAAACGCATGCATATAATGTTTCCTCCAAAATCATGCAATAATTAGTGTTTTAATTAAAGGAATACATTGTTTGGCGACATCTTCACATTCAAAGGCATGAAGTGATGGGCATGTCTAAATTTTGAAAGATGAGTTTCTTTCTATAATTAAACCTTGCTATTATATTTCTATACTTTCTCATGTGAGTTTGTTGGATAAATGCCCAATTTTGTTTGCAATAATTGATGCATGAATTAAGGTTCCTTGGTATCTTTCTTAAAGGATAACGAGGATTCAAAATCAAGCAATAAATTTTCAAAATCATTTTTTTTTAGTAATAAATATTTGTATTCTTTCATACTCCATGATTCAAATAAATATGTTTTTTTTTCCTTTTTCTTGTTCCTTTTTTTTTTTTTTTTTTTTAAGTTGATAAATAATTGTTTATTGTAAACTATGACGGCCACATATATATACTTTACAAATTACAACACAATGTTTTCAAATTTATAAGAGCATCTTCTGCATGGGGCTTGAGTAGGGGGCCAAGAGAGAAGAGTTAGAGCGCGTTTAATAAATAGTACCCCACAGAGCATTTCATACTTCGTAGTATCTAGCAAATTAGAGAACTTTAATAGATAATAATCTCACTAATGAGCTAAAAATGTAGTCATGAATCATTTTTAAGAACCCATACCAAGTGTTATCAATGGCAATGACATAACACGCTTTCAACAAATAATATCTTCCTCTAAAAAATATAACTTACAATAGACAAATCTTATTTTTAGTTTACAATGCAATGCTTCAATGGCCAAAATTCAATTCCCTTTAACTTAAGCTATACATTTACAAATGAAATGCATCACCTCATTTTATTTTATCCTATCTATAAGCCACAATTAGCTATTAAAAATCCATTATAAATCGAAATTCTTTAGATCATTTGTAACAACAACCTTTATTACATAGACTGCGTACAAATAATTCAACCATTTTCTTTAGTTCAACACTAAAAGCTAGAATTTAATTAATTTACACAAAGGATTACAAAATGGGCATTTCAAGAAAGAGCATAATTGCAATTATCATAGGAATGATGTTGGTTTCATGCATAATTAGTGAAGTTGAAGGAGTTGATATAGGATATGGTGCAATTAGAAAAGGAGACAACAATCCTAGAAAGGCTAAAGTTGGTGCCCCTGCTAACCCATATGGACGTGGATGCGAGAAAGCCGCAGGATGTGGAAAAAATCCAGGGAATAAAGATCCTGCGGCTAAGAATTAAGTTTTTTTTTTCTTTATATTATAATGATAGTAGAATAATAAATATATATTTATTTTTCTACTATTAAATGATTGGATAATTATGCATCTTATACTTTTCATGTTGTTAGAAAGAAATAAATTTAGAGGTTGTATAGAGTTATTAGGGATACAAATATGGATTTTGGCTTTGTCAACCTATATTATTCCAAAAAAAAAAAAGGCCCTATTCGTTTCCTCTCTATTTTTTTTTCTCTTTAGGGTTCTTCAAAAAAAGTGTTTCATAGGCCGGAAATAGTCAAATTTCTCCGAAAATTTGACTATTTCCGATCCTTTCTCTTTAGTTTCTTTATATTTTTGTTATTGAATTCAATAAATCTACACTCTTTGAAGATAGTAAGTACCTCTATTGTGGGTTTGAGTGTAGTAAGTGCCCCTATGGTGGGCTTTGTTATAGTTTTGTTTTTATTTTTTGAGTTTAGTATGGTAAAAGTTGTTTCATGGGTAAAAATCTGTACTGGATTGAGAAAGAGGTTAATCCTTCGATTGCAATCAGATGAATCAGACATGCATGTTGTTTTTGATCTCAATATGCCTTACATTGCATCTTTGTTTTTTTATGATAATGTCTATATTCTATGAAAAAAAAAGTTAAAAATTGTACCATATGTTTATAAGAAATGTTTGATACGAGAACATGATCTTATTAGTAATTTTGAATTGATAATGGTACTTTTTTCGAAAGTACAAATTATTCCGAGTATTATCTATACTTATCTACCTATTCAAAAAGCATAGGTGCGAGGTGTCTACAACAAATTCACTCTATCATAATCAGTGATACCTATTATGCATAGCATGTCAATATTAGAACAAATCAGTTGGTAATAAGTATTTACTATAGACTAGTTTAGATAAGATAAGTTTAAGAAAAATTAAGATTTGATAAGGGTTAATAACTTAATATCGGTAATCAAAATTCTTTTATCAACTAAAATAAGTTACAATAAATTTATATGAAATATAAGATAATTTTAAATTAGATTAGATAAATAAGTAAAGATCGTATGAATGGAAGACATCTTGATAAGTAAGGGATCCTCAAATTTGATTTCTGCTCTGTGGTGGAAGGAAGCCAGGGAGAATTGAATCAGACGTAAACCAAGGTCGGATTCCTATATGGATGATAGAACCGCCTTCGATTGGTCAGCAACGAAGAGAGACGGGGTCGTCGAACAAGTGTCCCTGCTGTTGCTCCTCTGGTGAATTTAGAGAGTCAAACCCACAGGTGAGATTTTGCTAGAGGAAGCATATATACTACGTAGTTTATAAATCCCATCAATTCATTTTAAACCATAACTATTTAGTATATTAGTCGTGGCATGCCTGTGATACTCTATTGATAAGAAAAATAAACACCAACCACCTAAAAGAGGTTTATATAGTGGAAAAGGAATATTAATTTATCAACAAGAATTATGTACGAAGTATATGAACCAAAAAAGAATTTGTAACATTATTCCAATTTAAGGAGAACAAAATAGTTGATAAGACTTCCTAAAAAAAAATTAAGTTGATAAGACATTTGCTTTTGACTATCAATCTGGAATTTTATCACAAGCAATACATAGATTGTGACTTTTAATTTTTGATATTCCATTATTTCCTAATACTTTCTTTATTCTTTTTAAATTACAAGTTTAAACTTCACTGTTTTATAAATTTTTATTTTGATTAAATTTTGTGATTTATGCACAAGATAAAACATAGCTTGGTATATAATTTTTATTTACTGACAATTAAAAATATTAATCATTTAAATATGTGCATTGACACACGTTCTAAACGAAAATTGCCAACTAAAAATGGGGAAAATAGTTTTTAGTTTTATTACATTTTTACTTCAAAAATGATTTAACTAGTTATCGCCTAGTTGTGTTGCGTTTCTTGATTTTAATATACTTCATTTATTTTACTTACAACACATGGAACTTTTAGGAGGTAATTAAAGGAAATACTGCCTCCGTTGTTACATATAATTTGCAATTTTTAGGTATTATTTATTAGATATTAATAAAAATTCAAAAGCTACAAATAATATGTGACGGAGATAGTACTAAAATGCGTTTATCAAAACTATACGAGCATATATTTGAATACATCTCTCTTATGTATGATGATCAGTCCAACAGCACTCTTATATGAGTTTACTTCACTAGTCAATTAACTATGGAAAATCAAAAGACCACTTGAGCACTTCTTGGAGAATTAGTTACAAAAAAAATGTAGTTATCTTCAGCTAGTCTTCAAAATTCAGTCCAAGAGTGCCACATATCACATTCTTAGTTAATTTTTTTTAATTTTACATTAAAAAAAAAAAATTAAATGTTAATTTTTACGGAAATAATAAAAGTCACTCCTTTCCTCTCCCCTTGAAACTCTTTATTTGTTAAATAATAAAAGCATATGACAAACAAAAAAATACATGTATTATTTTACTATGGTCTATGTGTCGCACGGATCAAAGAGCTAGTTATAATTCATAAGATAAATATTTTGATCCACATTCTAATTTCATTGATATTGTCCTTTACAATAATGAGTTAGTTCGGGGGGGGGGGGACTTGATGAATTGTCATAACTTGTGATTACTTTATTTTGAATTTGCATCAATTTAACTTGACTTGTTAGATTTGTCTTTTTCCTTTTAATATCCGCCACAGTTCGTGTATTCGTGTTGCCTAACACTTGTCATTTGTGCAATTCTCTAACTGTCCTCTACCATTATAGGTCGTCTCCACAATTAGTCTTTTTTTTCTTCCAATATCCACCACTGGTCGTGTACTTGTGTTGCAAAACATTTGTCATTTGCGTTGTTATCTGATTATCCTCTATAACTATAAGTCGTCTCCTCGATTCATCTTTTTTTCTTCCAATATCCGCCACTGGTTGTGTACTCGTGTTGCACAACACCTGTCATTTGCGTTGTTCCCTAATTATCCTCTACCATTATAGGTCGTCTCCTCGATTCATCTTTTTTCTTCCAATATCCGCCACTGATCATGCACTTTTGTTGCCCAAAACGTTTTTTGCATAGTTCTCCAGCTATCCTCTACGACTATTGGTCGTCTCCTTTTGACCTCGGCACATATATGCTCACTCGTTATTCGCTAACAGGTCAACTAGCTACCACATTCGCATTCACATTCACATTCACATAATCACATTCACATTACACTTTATACTTCGTTCCTGTATGTTTTGATATTGCTATTACCGCGAACACTCTAAGTCCACTTATCACATTTAAGTTGACCTGTTACAATTCTATTTCTACTAACTGTTGTTTGTCAACACTTTTTCTTAAGATCCATTGATCAATTGCCAAACTCCCTACACTTTTCTGCTTTTGTAAAGCTGCAAATCATTCAACCCGACATCAAATTTTGTCCTTATTTCAATTAGGGTCCACTATATATGTGGGTTACTTTGATCTTGTAAAATGGTCATTAGCATAGATCCTTTTAGTAATTAACATTACGTGTCAATTATGAAGCTTAATAACCATCTAATGTCTCAAACAAAAGGTCCCTTTGAAGGATTTCATGGGACCCAAAGTATCAAGAATCCTCCATAAAAGAAGTCCCTTCTCGATTCTTTGATCTTCCAAACTAGATTAGATTTCGTGAAGCAATATCAGTGGGACGGAGGTTTACTTGAGTTGTTACAAGATTCGATATGTTTTTTATACGTATGACTGATAAGATTGCGCAAATATACATTACTGACCGTGAAAAAATACTCCAACACATTTGTTTCTAAATCACACTAATACAATTTCAATTTTCCATTATCGTAGAAATATCAATTTGATTAAGTAATGTCATTTTCATCACATCTGTTTGTATTTCTAACTATAGTTAAGAGGTACGAGTAATATAGTTTTTGATAAACTTCTTTTCTATTCAATTTTCCTAAAAAAAAAAAAAAGATCTTGCTAACAAACGTTTCCGGACATTAAATAAGCATTTAAAATATTTTTTAAAGTGGTATTAATTTGAAAATGCATGTCTAAATCACGCGTCGATTCGGTGTAATTAATGTTCATTTTAATTTAATATTTCTACTTTTAGTTATCTTATCCAACGCCTCGAGCCCGGGAATTAACTTTTGCCAAAAAAAAAAAAAAAAAAAAAAAAAAAAAAAAAAAATTATACTTCGTACTGAGTAATATTCAATGGGCACTATATATCAGTAATAAGAAACGCGATTCCTCATTTTCAAACAGGCTATCAATATTAAAATTTTAATCCCTTAGGAGTAAAAATTTAGCTACTCTGTCATATATTACATTCAACAACTCAGGATATTACATGGTTATTATGTAGTAAACCTAGTTTAACTATAGCAACTTGAGCATCTTGAGTCGTTCTTCATGCTCCGGATCCAGCTTAGGTGGGGTATAGCATCCATGTAAATCCTCTACAATATATTCCTGTAAAAGACACCAGAAAAAGGTCAACTTTGAAGCACATTACATGTCCAAACAATGAAGTTCAAGATACAGCAGCTGCCACTCCCTTGAACCACTTAGGCATGTCGGTACGATGTCCCAATCCATGTCACTTAATTGAGATTCAACAGCTGAACAACGAGATAATCTGTTTTCAACTAAATAATTTGTTTCCAACTAGTTAACCTAGCAGCATTATACTTGTACTAAATTTTCTTGATGCAACTGCGAAACTGCTTTAAGAACAACAAAAATTTAGGTGCTATAAATTTCCTACAACTTGGGCATTTAGATCATGGCTGCGGATATTCACTACTGACTGGTTTTCACAAGTTCAAATTATTAATTCGAATAATGCAACAGCAATGATAGATAACATGAAACTACAAGTGTAACTGTGTATACTAACCTTTGTCAGCTCTCTCTTTGTGAGAATATGGTAGTGCCTTTGCCATATTCTTTGAACAGCCATGGTAGCAGCAAGGAAACCATATGCAATTCCAAGGATTGCGAAGATCACCACAAAAACAATGACAAGTGCAAAGCATGCTTCCATTGATGCAGGAAAACAATCCAAAATTCCCCATCCATAGCAGCAGTTGTGGCAACCAGCCATGCGGGGATCATTGTTCAGGGAAGAGCAGTGAATAATGAGACCACAGAACCCAAGCAACACGAAAAAAGTCACCACTCCTGTTCACAAAAATCAAGACAAATCAGGAAAAAAAATGTATAAGATTAGAAGCAGTCATTACTCTGTACTAGCATTTACAAGACACAATCGCAAAGAAACAGGGAAACCTACATACTCCGGTACTAGTTATCAGCCAAGTATAAAGTTAGCATAAGAAAGATGGACCACATGACAAGCTGGTTAAAAGAGAAATTTTCAGACAACTTAAATGTACATTCACTATATTTGGAAAGTAAATGTGGACGGAAAGGGAGGGAATGAAGGAGAGAGAGAAACAAAAGAGAGGTGGGGAAGGAAGAAGTGGGATTGCCTTTTCCTTCCAAAAATTTTCATCACTGGATGAATTTGGTTTATTAATAATCCCCTTCTCTTTCCTCTTCCCCAAGTCATATCCAAACGAGGAAAGATGAATGACATGAATCCCTCACTCCCTCTTCTCTTCCTTTTTCTCCATATTACCTAATCGTAACACCTTGTCGCACATCCAAACACATTGAAAAGGGAAAAGAAAGATTCAAAGAGAATCGAGCATTTACCACTGACCACCATACTAAGTTGTAGTTGCTTTCACTAAAAATTTTGCTTTAATGTAACGGCTGAGAATCCAGTATTAGAACCTACTACATACACTCAAGTTCTCAATATAATCGAAATTTTCAAAGCCACATGAACCAAATGAAGGTTTTGTCTGGTCTATGTTTAAAAGACAACTAAACAAGTCTTATCTCCTCCTAGCCCAATTGTCATACTGAGTTCTATGTAACATACTCTATGTTCTTATTTACCAGGAAATAAAATTTACCTCCTGATTAAGGTCATCTAGTGTGCTGTGATGGTGACTGATTAGCAATCCCATAGATTTTTAGAAGTGTCAGCAGGACAGTTGTCAGTAAAAGAGGTATGACAAGTTACAAACATGTCAGCAACACACAACTAACTCTCACTATTCTATGTGAAATGCTGGCCATAAAATAAGGGTAGGCCCATCTTCAGGATTTCAGGTGCCCAGTCTCCATGTCAATAAAAAAAACTCAAGTAGCTAGCCAGATGGGTCCACTAATCAGATTGCCACTCTAGAACCTGGATAGCATTTATTTTTTGTTTATTATGCTTGGAAATTATCCAACAATCTCCACAATAGGCAATTGGCACTAAATTAAGAACATGCCCCTTTTCCTATTAAAAGTTCACTTTTCTTCTTCATTCTGTGTAATTTGTCTGGTTGTCAAACAGGAAAGATGCAAAATGGTTAGAAGAAAACTGTTGCATAATTTCAACAGTATCTCGTTTTTCAAACAACGTGCTCTTAAACTGTCAACAGTCAATTGATAACTCCATCTCTATCCTCCGTTTACTTTCGCATCTCTCTCATTTCACGCTGTAGAAATATAGTATGTCACTGTGTCATTAGAAAGCTCAATAGCGATTAAAATTTCCGTGCAAAGTCAAACTACAGAAAATATTGTTGCAGAAGCCCCAAATAGGGCCCTATCCTGCCCGTTTTCTAGTAGAAATTTTCATGAATGCAGCATATAAATGGAAAGTCAGGAGGCATAAGAAAATTTACCTATGCAGTAGTAAAAAGGTATAGGATGCGTTGACAATATACGATCCCATCCATCACTAAATGAATTCCTGAAAGCCCCATCTTTGTCCATGAGATAAGCAAAGGCTCCCATTGCCGCAATTGCCTGAAAAGACTGGTTGTCAGAGACAAATTTGTTTGGAAACACTATGGGAAAAATCTAATCTAAATAGGATGCTAGTCTTAATAAAACTTCCATGACCTCAAGGCTAATACATTTATGAGAAGAATGAACTGCTGTTCAGGGATCAATTCGGAAGCTATAAACTTTGAGTCTAATCAAGAATAGTTCTCCGTCTTGCATTAAGCACAGCAAAAACTTATCCATCTCAAGGTTACATGCATGATAAGGATGTACTGCTGTCCAGGGATCGGTTTGGAGATTAAAAGCCCCCTATGTTTCATTTGTGCATTGGAAATACTGGAGATAAAGAATGTGATGAATTTGAAAATTTTCCAACTTTCCTTTTAGAGAAATCATAAGTGGTACTCTGTACTATTTACTGCTTTAAAATTGCAGTTGATAAAACAATTGGGACAAAAAGAAAGTGTATTAAATACAATACTAATAGGATGGAAGGAGACAAATAATCAGCCAATTTTCATAAACTTATCATCAAAAGGAAAACCCTCCAAGCTAAACAAGCAAATCACATTCCCAAGGATTGCATTCAATTGTCCTGAAGTCCTCCAAATGAGAATCAAGCCATCCACTCTTAGTTTGCTCAGAATTCATGGTGCCTATATAATCCAATAAACATTCATAATAAGCCAAATACAGAAACCGAATTCCCTCAGCCACTAACTCAAAAGCAGGATCTTGAGGCTCAATGTCTAGGTGATAAACATTGCAGATTGCCAGATTCAGAAAGAATCATCACAGGCTTTCATCAAAATTATGGGCATAAAGTACTTTTTAAAATATGAGTGCATACAACTAATCCACGACCCCAACCATCATTGCAAGAGATGATCTTGAGCTTCCCTAAAAGACATTTCTGTAACCTCAGAAGAATTAGAAACTTCAAATGCTATGTAATATGGATCTTGTCCACAAAATACAACCACATAGCAACATTATTCTTTATTCATATTTCTTATTCTCCCTAAGGTAAAGATCACCAAGCATTTGTTAAGCAATCAATCATTGTGACCATTCATAGAAGCATTAATTGAGCCAAATGAAGGAGATTGATAATTTCATCCAAGAAAATCAACACAACTGCACTTTTTTAACACTTTAATTGTCATAACTTAAATCTTCAAGTGGAAACTACTACCAACCAAAAAAAGAATAGACAGATTTCAGTTCAATCTTAATTGAGTCGCATCAAAATGCAGGACACTAACTAATCTTTTCCTTGTAAATACGCTATACCAAGTATAAGCATTAACATAGCAACAAATTATCCACCAGCAGATAGGCATTTTGAAGACATTACAGGTCTCAATACAAATGATTATTCATGTGTAAAGAAGCAAATATCCAAATGAAAAATGAAATATTACAAAGACAATGTCAAGGAGTAGATGATACTCCCAAGTTCCAATTCAACATACAATAATACAAGTTATAAAATAACAAACAAGGAAGCGTAACTGTGACTTAAGAAAGATAAAACTAGATTTAAACTATAGCACTAGAGAGATTTATTCCCAGCTAGCCCTGTCATAGTCACTTTCTATAACTTAATTTTTGACATCATTTACTTGAGTCACATCAAGGCAGAAGAGAGGTAAGAGAAATAGAGCAACTGGATAGAAAAGCTTATACACCACGGTACTAACTACAGCGGAAATGAACTAGTAATTACTATCGAAATCATCACAGCTTTGTAGAAAGAAGGTGAAAAGGAAAAGAAAAAAAAAAGCTACTGAATATATGTTGGTTTCTTACTCTGCTTCCTCCAGCTCATTTATCTTACGGTACTAGCCTTTTGAAAACTTTGACAGATGATATTTTTCAAGTTTGCATGCTCTAATATGAGAAGAAACATGAAACTACTGGATTGACAAGAAAGTTCCTACCCCTGTTGGATTATTAAATACCTAAGAGGCTAGGCAGTAGCCACTAATTAATATAAAAACATAAGAATAAACCGCCACTCAAGTAGACAAGAGAAAACATATTGTGAAGTTATTAATATCAACAATATCAAGCCCAAAACAGAATTATAAATACCAAATCAAACACTTATCAGCATATCTAATGCTTGATTCTTTTCGCTGGTTTTGTTAGCCACATTATTAGCATCTCCATAAAGAATAAGGTCAAAGCTCTACTCACAGTCTGTACAGCCAAAAATACAAGGAGAACATCTCTAGCAACAAATAGCCTGAACTTCAATTTTCGCCAAGTGTTGTCTTCAAATGATTCAACACGAAGATGAAATTGTGCTTTGCAAGTCGTGCAATGTGAAAAGGCAAAACCTTCCTGCATAAGTTTGTAGATAAATCAGGTCAATTGAAGTAACATTATATTTTATTATTTATTATTAATACCATACAAAATTGAAAGAGATATTGCCATCATTCATATGATAATACTTCTATTTCCGAAAAGACAACTTGCCTTCACCGAACGCCAATGATCAAGACATAAACGATGAACAAACTGCTGGGTGCCTTTGCACATACATGGTGATATCAACTCATCATCTGCAGAGCAAACATATGCTGTGTTGACTGCCCAGAGAAAGGGTATGACAAAAATAACGAGGTAAATGGGGCTGAAGGAAGTGACACACTTCACACTATGGGTCTCCAAGGAAGTAAGCCAGTAACAGCAAACATGACAATTCCACATACATAAATAATCTACATCTGGGAGTAGTAGCATACTTCAAAGATGCAACAGAAGACATGGCTATATAGATTGCAGACATCTGCTCTTCTAAAACACTAAGTATCCTAGTCACAAGAAATGGCTATATATAGCGCTAGTTTATAAAGCTTTAAGCTTCAACTAATTCTAAATAACGACTAACCATAGCTACAAAATAGTTCCCTAAACAATAAAGCTTCCTGCATTCCAAATTTTCACTTCCAACAACAAAAAACAGCAACAGCAATTACACACAACAATAACAATCAAGCACGTATCATGCAACTAATAGAATCTACATGTACACATCGTTAGCCCTCACCTAACCTCAAATGGTTAAATTACACCAATTGATCCCCAAAATTTCACCTTCTAATTGGCAAAAGTGTGTAATTGCACAATCCCTCATCATCTCTTCTTACTCTCATTGCTCTAAAGCTAAAAAACCACTAACTATTCCCAAAACTAGTTTCAATCAGTACCTAACTACTCCCCTCCATCCCGATATAATATTCACATTGCCTTCATTCTTCATGATTACAACTACTGCCACAATATTAGTAAATAATCCTCCAAGCCTCTGATTATATGAACCATTTTCACACTCTCCCCCATCACTCAAACTAAGTACGGTCATATTAGGAAATTTTTATCAAAAACCAATACTACCAACCATTTTTCTAAGCATTCCAAAATAGTATACATAATTATTAATTCCACACTATAATACAAAAGAAACAATAATCATTCCAAAAACTCTCACAAAATTGTCAAATATTAAAACAATTCAAACTGAAAAAAAGAATATACCATCCTCTCCATCACATTCGAGACAAATACGACAACAAGGAGCAGAACCAGCTTCAAGATCATCATCACCATTGCCACCACCGCTTCCGCCGCCATTATCATCAGCGTCTCCCTTCACTATCTCCGTAGAAAAAGAACTTGACTTCACAACAACTCCATCATCATCATCATCACTATTCATCGGAAGTAAAGGATCAGTATCTCTCTCCTCTGAATCCCTTACTCCTAAAGATGATGATGATGATTCCTCCATTTGTACCTCACCTTTCATCTTCACTCAGAATTTTTCCCTGATTATCAAACCCTAACATCAAAATTTAAACATCAATAATCAATCAAACAATTCATCTTTTTCTTTAACAAGATTTCAACAAATTTATACCAGAATTTCAAAAAAATTACAAATTTTGGCATAATTATTGCAGTTCAAAAGCAAGAAATTGATGATAAAAACAAATTTTGAGATTGAATTTGCGTACCGATTGAGTCTTCGAGAAATTGATTGTGGAGTTCAGTATCCTGTAAATTGGAGAGAGAGAGAGAAAACGACGCGTTTTTTTTTTTTTAATTCTTTGTTTTAATGCGGAAAGTTTTACTGGTATTAGTATTTAATTTAATACATCACTTCAATTAGTGAAAATTGGAAAGAGAATTTGATGATGAATTTCTTAGAAAAAGCCAAGCAAAATGTGGATAAGTTCCATGGAGTTGGTATTAGATTGGACTACTATTACGGCTTGTTTGGTTGCACAAAGAAAATGGGAGAAGTAGAAAATCATGTGAATTTGAAAATGGATGGGTTGTTTGGTTGACAATAAAAAGTGTAAATATGATAATTGTGAATTCCAAAAAACCTGGGAAGTTAATTACCTAACCCCCCTAGGTAAGTCAAAATTCTCATGATTTGCAACTTCCTAGGAATTGGACGTAGGTATTTAATTCCCATAAAATACAAATTCCCATGGGAAGTAAATTCACATATCAAACAAACAACACCTTAGTCTATTAGACAAGAAAGTTGGCACCAATTATAGTGTGCGAGTATATTACGAAATAATCTTTTGAACAGTTACAGACTTATGTGTAACGTGTAAGTGATTGATTGATTGATTGATCTAAACCTTTTACGTAAATTTAGCATGTCTAAGAAAGAAAGATGTGAAGAAGTTGTTACAAAAATCTTTGTTTAATGTTAGTTACTTTACTACCAACTAGTCTTCTGCACGGCTTATTCATAGATATATAATGTAATTTTTTGTTTTATAATGTGTTTTTAATTTAATGGTAGAAGGAGTGGAATTAAATAAACTTTTAAGAGATATTAAGTTGGAGGAGAATGAAATAAACAACATTAATATGTATTGAATTATGGCTATTTTTTATTTTTATTTTTTATAATATGTTAGAAAAGGGATTAAAAGAATAGGTTATATAAGGTGACATGTGGCATTATTCAACCAAAAGAAAAGGTGACACATGACAATGAATGTACGATGGTTTGTGTAGGTATAGACTAGGTATAGATTTTGCTTTCCCCTTTGCTCTTAATTTCAATCATTAACTTAATAAAGTACAAACTTAATAGTTGTAAAGCCTGCAACCCCAATTGTTAGTCTCATCTCTCGCTTGATCTTCTTTATGTGTCTCTCTCTCTTAATCAATCTTCTCTCCAATCAACTCATCGACTATTAAAAAAGAAACTCTAACCATCAATCTAATTTTTTGGTTGAGTTGATCCTTTAACATTATCGAAACCAACGCAACTATAAAGTCACTAGTTCAATTCTCATCTACCCCTCTTTCAAAGTGAAATATTTAGCCATATAACTTTAATTGAGTCGGTCCTTTGACAAAAAAGAATATTGATAATAACTTCAAACAAGACATATGCTACTGTCACAAGATATACATAGGTGGATTACTTAATTGGACAATATAATTTAATCATTATGTGAAGTAGACTATGAGTTTTTTTTTTGTCATTTCATTATTATTTTTATTGTGGACAGTTTTTTAAGACGATTCATGCTAATCAACCCCAAATTATTTTGAAATTAAGAATTTGCTTTAGTTGTTGTTGAAGTCAGCTGACTTTACAATTATATAAGCGGAGTCAATCAAAATATTCATGGTAAATTATTAGGTCCGACAAGGCACTAAGTGCAAAGTTAACATGTTGACCAACTTACAAGTCATCTAGCTAAATATAAGTCCTCTTACTGTGCCTGTGGATATGTAATAAAGTAATTAAGTAAGCCCTCCGTGCTCCAATTCTTAGATTGCTTTATATGATTTTTCATAGTCATTGATACATGTTTTATACTTCGTATCATCTATATTCCCACTTTCGTACACATAAAATTTGTAATAATTGGTATTTTAAATAAATTCATTGAAATGAACCTAACATAATAACACATAACTGAATTTATTCTTATAAATTGATTATTTATGATCAAAATGTTTTACGTTAGACCCAAAATAATGCAATGGAACAATATTTGAGTGCAAAGGGAGTAAGAAATCATTGCATGATATCTGATCATTATTCCATGTTTTTAACAAAAAAAAAAAAGTTATTTTTATTAAGAGCAGATTAGTGAAGCAATCGATAGTAAAGTGTACATCTTAAACCACACGTAATGATTATTGTTAAAGCATACTTGAACACCTTACAACAATCAGTGTCTTCAATTCTGCATGCTTGACAAAACAAAACTATATACTTCATACATGGCTAGATTGTGTCACGGTAGCCAACCAAGGTATTGATCGTGTAAATGAATAACAGTAATGGTGGTTTACTTTACGTCATGTGCAGTGTGACGCTAGCAGGTAGCTTGTTAGGGTTGGTATGATGGCTACTGTTGTGCTCTTTGTGGTGGCATCGCATTGCGGTGGAGAGTTTCTGGAGGCGATGGGCAGAACAATATTGCATTGGTGGCCCTCAATCCTCATTAGATGAATTCTCATGGATATTCTAGTATGTGTTTTTGTTACTAGCTGTTAGGTGTTAGTCGAGTTAGAAGAACTGCAGTTGTGAAAAGTTAGCTATCAAAAGTTGATAAATTAGGTGTTCAGATTCAGATTATACACACGGACATCAAATTAGTTGAAATAATTTGACAGTAATCTGCAGATATTTCTCCCATGTCATTAGACTTGCCTAGATATCACCCTTAGTCAATACAATAATGAATAAAAAAACTGACCATATGGTCAAAAAAAAATGTATCACACAGCGCTTTGAACGAAATCTCAAAACTATAAATAAAAGTAACCGACGAGTATATTATTGAAAAACGTATATCAAAATGAATGCAACACATTGTACTTTGATCAATACATCAAACCAAAGATGGTCAGAAAAAGAAGATAGAAATAAACGCTTTAGAAATACATTCATCAAAACTTATCAGACTAGGTACATCAAAACTTGTAGGAAACCGATATTTGTTCCAACCAACATGGTCAAAAGAATGGGAAAAAAATTACCCCGTAAAATGTGAAGAATGTACACGATACATAATACATTGCCTTCTTTCCTAATACAGGAAAGAGAAGCCAACCCTAAACCAAAACTGATATACCCAGTTTACATGTATGTTCCACGCCAAAGATTAAATAATTTGCTCAGTGTCAGAGATATGACTTAGTCGCACCTGGGCACAAAATGCGTTGCTTTGCCTAAAATTGCAACCACCAGTCTTGACGCAGAAAGAATCAAACACTAAAGCCAAATGAGACTTGAGAGATGACAGAAGATTCACAAAGTACAATGCAGTAGCAAACTCTTATACTGCCAAGATACCAACAAAATGCGTTGCTGTCTGCCGGTCTCCATTCCATACCAACAAATCCATTATATTTGATACTTCAACAACTTATCCATCATAGATGGTTCCAAAGATGATATACATTGCTCCCATTGTCCATTTCCAAGCATCTAAAATACAAGAAACAAAACTTAACGTCTGCAGCCATCAAAAGGTTCAACCACACAGATGCGCAAGATATAATGCAAAATTCACACTACATGCGATAAAAAAAAAAAAAAAATGATAGCACAACTTTGGAATTAGAAGATGCATACTGTAGGCTTAAACAAAAAAATTGTCTCAGTCCATATCAGATCAAGGATGTCACAGCATAATAGACTCTGCACATGATGCATCTGGTGTGATGCACACAAAAGCATGATGCATGCAAAAGGAGCACTAAACATGTAATTATTCCTAAACACAAAATTTCTGGTCTCATGTGCTCAAATTGGCAGATACTCTGGGTTTAATACACTAGAACACTTAGATGGTTGTGCCACCATACTCAATTAATATAATAAAGAATAGCATATCGCCATGTCGTATCCGAAGCCTCCCAATATACCCTTTTAGGGCGATATTGTTAAGAAGAACCATATGATGTCATTTTAAAAGTTAATGACAGCAATTACTGAATTAAAATTAATTATTAAAAAAAAAAACATTTCTACAGATATATGACAAAAGAGGGACTACGGTATTGAGTGACTGCAGACCTGTTTATACCCATGCAACACCTGACATACTTCATTATGCAGATCCGGGCTTTTAATTTCCTGTGGTCAAAGAAGCAACAACATTAACAGCTGAAATAATCTATCCTCAAACTCTTCTTGTGAGTTGTGACAGCTTTTTTTTTTTTTTTTTTTTTTTTAAAAAAAAAAAAAAAAAATGCTCCTTACATGCCAGCTAACAATTGCCTTCACCAAGAAGGGAAGGGAACTTAATGCTGCAGTAGGATTCATCTTAACCTGAAAGGAATGACATAGCAGATAATAACATTAAACCAGCAAAGAATTCAAGAGCCAATGTAAAATATACTCACCATTGCACATAAACCTCGAAAAGCGTCTTCTTTTTCTATGTCATCTCGTATCCTGCCACAGCACAGTTGGTTAGCAGAATACCAAACTGCGTACAAATATAATGTGTGTGTGTGGGGGGGGGGGTGGTGGGGTTTGGTGGTGGGGGGAGAAAGAGTGGAAGAGCCCAAATCACATTGGTTTAGTGGGATCAAAATGTGGTAAATGAAAGTTGTGTGCAGACGGGAGAATAATTTTAGTTATCAATATATAGTTATATAATTCTTGATTAAGACGGACTTTCATTAACTTATTGTAAGACGGTTTAAAGTTACCCTTATATAATACAAAAATTACAATTTTCCTAACATAAATTTTACCCTTAGCAAACACTTATAATGTATTAGATTAATCATATTAGCCATCATATCATGTATCCATTAGAAATTATATATTAAAATACAATCAAACTCATTACAAATTAAATGTTACCTTTAAAAGGTTTAAAGTTACTATAAAAAATTGTTAGTTACCCTCAAATTAACCGTCTTACAATACAATTAACGTAAGTCTTCCTTATACAAGACTTATTGTATATAAATAAAGAAGAGTATACCAAGAGGGGAAAAAGAAAAAAATAAAAAAAAACACTGAGATCGACATAGTTTCTTCTGTTCTTAGCTGAGGCATAGAGAACAGGTGAAAAAGCTTAATATGCAAAGTGTTTTGACTTCTGACATTGGTACTTACATGGCCAAAGCACTACACCATGGTTGCATGAAATGCTCCATATACGGAGATACAAGCTCGGGACAGGCCCAGGCAAATCTTCCAAGAGTAATGGTAGCATTCTCTATAAGT